ATTTTGTGAAGGCAATGGATCGCAATGGGAGTGGATTTTTGTATCTAAAATAAAAATTCCCTAAAATAAGTGATGCAAAGATAAAAGAGGGTATTTTTGTTGGCCCTCAAATTAGGGAGTTAATAAAAGATTCAAGATTTGAAGAAAAATTAAGCGATTTAGAAACATCTGCATGGAAGGCTTTTAAAAATGTTGTTTCAAATTTTTTGGGTAACCACAAGAGTGACAGCCACAGAGAGTTGGTTAGCGAGCTATTATTGTCATATCAAGCATTGGGTTGCAACATGTCACTTAACGGCGCTCTCACAGTCAAGCAGAGTTTCTGAGGGGCATCGGGGGGGGTGATAGGGAAACGCTAGTAGGACGGCGTTGTGACAAGGCAAGCGCTCTACGTTAGAAAAGGATAGTAATACGCAGAGGTGTGCTGTTCGCGTGCCTGGTTGAATTTGCATATTGCACAGAGTCGGATTTGATTTGGATATACGATCTAGCGTACGACTGTTTCCCTATTTTGGCGCATAGTATACCCAGCCCTTATTACTCTTATTACCGTTATTGTATTGTTGTATTATCGTGTTGTTATTGTTGTGTTGTTATTGTTGAGTGTCTTTCTTATCAAGGTATCAAAAATGAACAATAAGAGAAATAAACGTGGTGTCTCGAAGAAGCCGCATTTATATACGCACAGGAAAAAAAACGTTTTCCAGATAGAAAGGTAGGTACCAAAACAATTATGAATTTTAGCATTTATTTTGCCAATAAATTAGACAATACGTAGTTACTATTATAACTATATTTTATATGTTATTTTAGCTTAAAAATGACAGCAAGGTTTCGCATATGCATTCTCTAACAGAGACAGATGGCATGTATCTTCAAATTCAGGTGTGTATACCTTTTTTTTAGATTTGCACCAGAGGCTGATATCATTTCTGGCAATTCTGATTAAAAATGCAGTAAGTTTAGTTCATGACGTCGATAATGATATTGTAGAGCAGTTTAACTCAATCATAGCTAAATTCATTGGGGGTAAACGGATTAATTATTGCAAGAAGAGATCCTACCAAGGAAGATGTGCTGCAACCATAGTGAGCCACAATACACAGCGGCCTGTTTGTGTGATCCAAAAGCGGCTACTCCCCAGTTTTAGTCCAACCTCTTTGATTGCTAAAGTTGAAGAAAGGAGAGCGCACAAAAATCTGAAAAGGAAGCTGAAACCAAGGAAAATTAAAATCAGAGATAGTGATACTAAAGAGAACGCATCCTATGGGGAATTCTGTGAGAAGCCTGACATGAGCAATGAAGATATAGAGGCTGCCAAGGTAGAATTCTTGAAAAAACTTGCAAAAACCGACTCCGAAATTTCCCAGATCGAGCAAGCCACAAAATCTCAGGATTGCAATTTGTGGCATCTTCATCGAAGAATGAGGTTGACTGCGTCTCGGTTTTTTGAGGTTTGTAGAAGAAGAGATACAACAAGTTGCAGAGCTCTAGTAAACGCCATAATATACCCAATCGAATTCTTTAGCAATGCATGTGACTATGGAAAAAAGCATGAAAGCGTGGCAAAAGCAGAAATAGAGAAATCATATTCGACATCAGAAGTACAATCTTGCGGGTTGTTTATTGATAGGACCCATCCATTTCTGGCAGCATCGCCAGATGGTTTGATAGGCGAAAAAGGTCTGCTAGAAATTAAATGTCCATGGTCGGCTAGAGAAATGACCCCTGAAGAGGGCATTCTGAACAAAAAAATTACGTTTTGGATGAACGATGAAATAAATAAAAAACATAAGTGGTATTACCAAATTTAAGGGCAGCTACACGTTGCACAAAGAGAGTACTGTGTGCTTGGTGTTTGGATCCCGTATGGTTTGAAAATAGACGTCATTCAAAAGGATGACGTTTTCTGGAAAAATGAAATGGAAGAGAAATTGAAATTCTTCTACATGAACTGCTTGCTCCCAGAACTGGTCGATCCCAGGAAAAGCAGAAATATGCCAATCTGCGATCCCGATGTGATCTTGAAGGCACAAGAGAACCGTTTGAACAAGAAAAAGAGTTCTTGAGAATTGGTTATTTTTGCTGTACTCGGGTACCAAAATGGAAGAGATTAGCATATTACATTGTACGCCGTTACTAACCCCTTCGTGTCGGCAAATGCGGTGTGCAGATCTCGCTTTAGCAGCGATGTGCGAGATGTTATGCTAATCTCTTCCATTTTGGTACTAGTACCAGATGTTCACTATTTATTGTATATTATGTATATATTGTTTATTTAAATAAAAGTCAATCGTCAGGCTCAATAGCACGTAGCATCGGCTAGGTTTATCTAGTCTGTTAGATGGCGAATATTGAAATGTCACATTGACACGTTAAGCGCCACAGTAGAATCTGAAAATCCAGTCCACTGGGCAAAGCTGTTATTATTGTCAAATTAGTTTGTTTTAAGTTTCGGTTTAATATTTTGACTTGACTTTTTTCTCAAATCCTATGATTTTTTCCCTTTTTTGGTTTTTTTTTCTGAGGTACTAGTTGTATGTCGCGTGGCCCACAGACCAGTCAGGTCGCGTGGCACATAAGTCGCGTCGCGTTTTTTGCAAGTCAAGACTTGCTTCATGTCGCGCATTGAGCACTGTTTCCTGTCATTTATTATTGAAGCGTTGTTGGTATTGTACGTCATCTTGTCCAAATTGCTTTACTGTTTATAAATTATTGAATACCAAATTTGTGATGTCGTATTACGAAGCGGAGCAAAAAAGGCTTGAACAATTGTGTAATGAAATACTATCGGATGAAGAGAGTGACAGTACTGAGTTATGTGGGGATGTATACTAATCTGATGCGTATTCTCCAAGTGGTAGTGAATCAGATAGTACTTGTAGTAATTCCATATTTATCTGTATTACTGTTTATTTATACCGGTATTTTGTGTATTCCTGCATAAGACTTTGTCAATCTGTTTAGTTTATAAGAGTTCCTCCATATTTGTGTTCGTTAGAATATCGACATTTACCATAACTTACTGATTTGCTGTGAAATTTCTTTGTTCATTTTTGAATGAGAATGTCTGATTATTTTAGAAGATTTGCTTTTTGTTTTAGATTTGTAGAATATCCTCTTTTTGTAAAACTCTATAAACAACGTGTTTTTTAATTTTTTCATTTCCAATTCAGTATAATTTGGTCCCTCAGGCAACGGACTCTTGGTTCCCGTAAGAAAATCACATCAGCATGGCACACGTCTTACGTTACGCGGCCAAATATAACTGCCAGCAGTGAGACATATCATGTGTGTCACGAGGCCCAAAGCGCCAAATGAGGTGCGACACACGCATTATATCTCATGACGCTTATCGTGTTAAGTTTATTTTACGATGCTTCATAAGGTTAAAGCTAAACAGCAAGTGACATTTTATTTGTGTTAAATGCGTTCACTATAATTATTATTTTTAACTAAAAAGATTACCGCCTCCAATGACCCTGGAACCACCTGGAAACTTTTGGTCACAAAGTTCTGTATTTTACCACACATGTCAAGTCTTTACATTTGATATGTAAATTGGGGGTTTTGTACAAAAATATGTAACTCGCAATTTCGAAACGGCGGCAATCTTGGAATCAAACTTTTAGTGAAGTACTGTATTCTACAAGGCGACGACTCTTATTTGAGATATTAGCAAGTATGTTATCCGCCATTTTGTGACGGCCGCCATCTTGATTTGAAACTGTTTTCGTATTACTGTTTTGTATAAGTGCTTCCATTTGATATCCATATTGGGGTGGTTGAACAAAAATGATTTTTTGTGGTATCACCTCTGAAGCATGGCCTATTGTATAAAAAGAAATGATCAAAATCGATTAAAAATTTCCCCTCTTTCATTGAAGTCTATTAAAAATGTCACTTACTGGTCCGATGTTTATCTCGAACGACCGACGTCAAAACTGCTACTGTTTAACTTGGGGCAACAAATTATCTGAATACGTCCTTTCTTAGTCCGTACACACCGCCGCGTTGCTTCGACTGGCAGCACGAGATAATGGATAAAATTCGTGTAAAAGCCTATTTGCAGAGGTTTTCGCGCTTCAAAATTGACACTTCATTTTTGAATATTTTTCAATGAAATTTTCACAGTGCACTAAAAACAAGACTCCACAGGGTGTTATAGAGCCACTTTTTCGTTTTTTCCTCTGGGTTGTTTTTAAAAAAATCGAGAAGTCGAACAACAATTATCTGCACTTCCACCCACCATATCTCCAGAAAAAAATTTTTTTTTAGAAAAGTGGCTCTATAGCACCCTGGACAATTGTCTTCTGAACATACTGTATAAATTTTATTCAAATATATAGAAAAATGGAGCGTCAATTCCGAAGTAGCTAAACCCTTGTAAATGGCCTGAAACTCACTGCGTCGGAGCCGCCTTAAGATCCATTTTTTAGACTCGCACCTGGATTTTTTTCCTGACAATTTAGGGGCTGTCAGCGACGAGCACGGTGAGAGGTTCCATCAGGACATTTCTAATATGGAAAAGCGGTACCAGGGCAAATGGAGCCTAAATATGTTAGCAGATTACTGCTGGACGATTAAAAGTGACCAACCAGAAGCTAAATATTCAAGAAAATCTTAGATTTAAGTCATTTATAAAAAAAAATAACTTTTGATTTACGAGATATGTGTTTTTTCTTAATATTTTGAAGTACTCAATAGAATAAAATCCTTGTCTAGCAAATTTTTTTTAACTGTTTATTTTTTCTTAAATCACCAATTAAAGTAAAAAATATCAAAAAAGTCCGTGTGGCACGACAAAGTTAAAATTTTGTTGACCAGTGTAATCTGTGCGTGGGAACCTGTAGCATAAGCGAACTTCTTGTTCAGCATAAGGAGATTTCACTTCGCATCAATAAACTCGAATTCCGGCATCCAAAAAGGGACCTGCGAGATACCAGCGCCATCTACGGTACAATCGAGAATTTCCAAAAAAAAACACCGTTCTCACTCACCATCAGATGATGATGCGAATGATGCCCTCCGACCGGCTGTCCGTGGTTGTTCTTCGAACTTCTCTTGCTCGACGCGCCCCAACCGCTGACCTGCTCGACGATCGCCGGGTTGTACACTTCGGCGGCGACGTCTACCGGGAAAACGGGCCGTTGATCCTGCAGGATGGTTGAGGAATCGACCAGCAGAGGTCGGCCCCAATCCGCCTCGGACAGCAACGGTTGTTGGATGGCCGGATGTTGCGGCGGCAGCTGCTGCCACGATGGGACGATCGCCATCTGTTGCCGGTTGCTGGTAGGCCAGGAGGTCTGCAGAGCGTTTTGAATCGGTTAGTTTGCGTTCAAGAATACTTGAACCGGGATTTTTAAAAACATCAGTTCATAAAGGAGGTCAGATCGGTTTACTAGAAAATTACCACTTTTTAAAAATTTCAAGTGACAACCAATTTGAGTTTCAAAAACAAAAAAATACCATTGATGCCATTTCCACATTAATACTCCGTCAGTTGTGGTTGTACTGGAATTGGTTTAAAACATATTCAAACAATCGATCCCAAATTGTGAAATTATCAAGACATTACATTTCAAATAAATTGAATATAATCGCGGGGGTACCTCAAGGATCAGTATTAGGTCCGATCCTATTCATACTCTATATCAATTATTTAATAAACTTAAACATAAATAGTAAGTTCGTCGTTTTTATCACCATGTATCTTGAAAACTCTGCATTTCCGGACCCCATGTTTATAGAAACTTTTTTTCATATTTTTCAACACCTTCTAATCTCCGTCCATTTTTCGAACAACCTGTATAACTAGAAACTAAAAATAACCCATGAAACAGTTTTGTAATACCCCTAAATACAAGCGAACGGAAGTTTTGATAGCTAAATCTTCAAAATCGATGAAATTTTACAAATCACTAGATACTGCTATTTTTCAAAAAATGTTTCACCAATCACCAGATTATTCATAAAATCACCATATCTGGTAAAATTTTACCAGATCTGGCAACACTGGTGGTGAATCCCACAACACTCGAAAGATATCGCAGACCGTAGTGATATCCAGACTAGACCGATACAATACGCCAAGTTGCGAAACTGGTTCGGAAATTTAGTAGTAGCTGATAGATCGCTACAAGTGTTCAAAATCGATGAAATTTTAAAAATCGCCAGAAAATGCCATTTTTCAAAAAGTTTTTCACAAATCACCAGATCATTCATAAAATCACCATATCTAGTGAAATTTCACCGGACTTGGCAACACTGGTCGTGAATCCCACAACAGTTAAGGGAATCACCGGAAAGATATCGTAGTCTGTAGTTCGGAAATTTAAGAATTGGTGGAGTTTTTGGTAGCTGAAAGATTGTTAAAAATCGCCAAAAATTGACATTTTTCATAAAGTTTTTCACAAATCACCAGATCATTCATAAAATCACCATATCTAGTGAAATTTCACCGGACTTGGCAACACTGGTCGTGAATCCCACAACAGTTAAGGGAATCACCGGAAAGATATCGTAGTCTGTAGTTCGGAAATTTAAGAATTGGTGGAGTTTTTGGTAGCTGAAAGATTGTTAAAAATCGCCAAAAATTGACATTTTTCATAAAGTTTTTCACAAATCACCAGATCATTCATAAAATCACCATATCTAGTGAAATTTCACCGGACTTGGCAACACTGGTGGTGAATCCCTTAACACTTACGGGAATCACCGGAAAGATATCGCAGTCCGTAGTTCGGAAATTCAATAATTGTTGGAGTTTTTGGTAGCTGAAAGATTGTTAAAAATATTCAAAATCGATGAATTTTAAAAATCGCCAAAAATTGACATTTTTCAGAAAGTTTTTCACCAATCACCAGATTATTTATAAAATCACCACATCTGGTGAAATTTCACCCGACCTGGCAACACTGGTGGTGAATCCCACAACAATTACGGGAATCACCGGAAAGATATCCGAGTCCGTAGTTTGGAAATTCAATAATTGTTGGAGTTTTTGGTAGCTGAAAGATTGTTAAAAATATTCAAAATCGATGAATTTTAAAAATCGCCAAAAATTGACATTTTCAAAAAGTGTTTCACCAATCACCAGATTATTCATAAAATCATCACATCTGGTGAAATTTCACCAGACCTGGCAACACTGGTGGTGAATCCCACAACAGTTACGGGAATCACCGGAAAGATATCGGAGTCCGTAGTTCGGAAATTTAATAATTGTTGGAGTTTTTGGTAGCTGAAAGATTGTTAAAAATATTCAAAATTGATGAATTTTAAAAATCGCCAAAAATTGACATTTTTCAGAAAGTTTTTCACCAATCACCAGATTATTCATAAAATCACCACATCTGGTGAAACTTCACCAGACATGGCAACACTGGTGAATCACACAACAGTTACGGGAATCACCGGAAAGATATCCGAGTCCGTAGTTTGTAAATTCAATAATTGTTGGAGTTTTTGGTAGCTGAAAGATTGTTAAAAATTATTCAAAATCGATGAATTTTAAAAATCGCCAAAAATTGACATTTTCAAAAAGTGTTTCACCAATCACCAGATTATTCATAAAATCATCACATCTGGTGAAATTTCACCAGACCTGGCAACACTGGTGGTGAATCCCACAACAGTTACGGGAATCACCGGAAAGATATCGGAGTCCGTAGTTCGGAAATTTAATAATTGTTGGAGTTTTTGGTAGCTGAAAGATTGTTAAAAATATTCAAAATTGTTGAATTTTAAAAATCGCCAAAAATTGACATTTTTCAGAAAGTTTTTCACCAATCACCAGATTATTCATAAAATCACCACATCTGGTGAAATTTCACCAGACCTGACAACACTGGTGGTGAATCCCACAACAATTACGGGAATCACCGGAAAGATATCGTAGTCCGTAGTTCGGAAATTCAATAATTGTTGGAGTTTTTGGTAGCTGAAAGATTGTTAAAAATATTCAAAATCGATGAATTTTAAAAATCGCCAAAAATCGACATTTTTCACCAATCACCAGAATATTCATAAAATCACCACATCTGGTGGAATTTCACCAGACCTGGCAACACTGATGGTGAATCCCACAACAGTTAACGGAATCATCGAAAAGATTTCGTAGACCGTTGTTTGAAAATTTAGTAATTGTTGGAGTTTTTCGTAGGTGAATGATTGTTAAAAATATTCAAAATCAATGAGATTTTAAAAATCACCAGAAACTGCTATTTTTCATCAATCACCAGATTATTCATAAAAACACTAGATCTGGGGAAATTTCACCAGACGTGATAACAGTCTACTGAACGCAAACCACATATTCCTCTGTCTCCCCTGCAATCCCGGCGCCTCCAGCGTTGCCATATCGAACTCTACGTTGCCAATCTCGCTTCTTTAGAAGTATATTGCTACAAATCCCTTACTTTATGATAGAACAAAGTCCAGGATCACGCTACCATAGGAATGTGCTGAATCTGCACAGATTTTTTCAGTGCAAACAACAACGATCCTACAGATTTGTTTAAAGATTCAAGTATTGTAACTCAAAAAATTGGAGAATACAATTTTTTTCAAAAAGTAAAATTTCGAAACTCAATTAAAGCGCCATCACTTACCGTAAGCAACATCTGCCTGCCGCTCTGCTCGACGACGCTGACCGGCACGTACTGCTGTTGCGGCATCGGCGGCTGCAGCTGCAACTGCGGCTGTTGCACGGCGACCGCGACGTGTTTCGTCGGCGATCCTCCGACGCCCTGATAGCCGGCAGCTGCTGCCGCGGCGGCGGCTGCGGCCGCAGCAGCCGCAGCCGCCGGACACAGGATGCTCGAGACGAGTTGATGTTGGAAGGGATCCGCGGCTCTACCGGCGCCGGCAGCGCCTGTGCCGGCAGTCGCGGTCGCCGAGTATTGCCGGCCGACGGTGCGGCCGTTGTAGATCTGGTACTGCAAAATAAGATTCACAATTTACGTGGCACGTCCCTTTTTTTGTTCGCAGCAGTATTCTAAATCCTTTTCATCTGATCAAAAAAAGCATTTTTCTGCATTTAATTGTGCATTTTTTCTGCAATCGGAACTTGTTAACAAATATGAATACAGCTTTGAAATTGTGTGTGAATATTCCACTTTTATGGAAGAATGAAACAAGTGATTACTTTTGTTCTTATCACTTTTCCTTTAAGAAAAATCTTTGATTTTCTTGAAGCCCCGTCTCGCAGCAAGTTAGGTTTTCAAGAAAAGCAAAGATTTTTCGAAGAGAAAAAATGATAAGAATAAAAGCAATCACTTGTTTCATTCATCCATTAAAGTGTAATATTCGCGTACAATTTCAGAGCTGTACTAATATTTGTTAACAAGTTACGATCGAAGAAAAAATCAATAAAACGCAAAAAAATGCATTTTATTACAAAAACAAAATTAAAACGATGATTTTCAGTCATCTCTATACCCATCGTGAAGTAATCAGATGAAAAGGATTCAGAATACTGTTGCAAACAGGTGCATAGTTGAAAAAAGGGATGGACATTGTCAAGCCGGAAACTGGGGTTAGGATCCAGTTATAATTAGGGCAAAGACATAGCGGTTTTAACCGAGGCGTTTATCGAGTCGGTGCCCGAGTCGTTATGTCGTGTAAGTATAAAATACACACAGCAAAAAGTAACTCTAAGGTCCTACCGCTGCTGCAGAATTTCAATAGTCTCCTGGTAAAAATTTTTTACGATTACGGAAAAACTCTCCTCAGCGTGGAGTTCAACCAGGTTGATTACGTTAATCAATGACCCCATACATCTTTTGATGCATGCTTGAGTTTTTTTTCACTTAAATGCTTTAATTTTGAGGACCAAAACTGGCGATTCGGCGGGTAATTTAGCAATTCAGAGTTGCTTGGTAGAGGACAGCCATAGTAGCGCAAGAGGTACAGCTGGGAACTGATAAAGTAATATAGATTATAATAAAAGGTTTTTATTATCATCTATATAGTCATTGTGTTGCCAAAAAAAAAAACAAGTTGAAGAAATAATTTTTTATGGATGTATCTTTTCTAATGCTTGACACACTGCAGTTAACAACTTACCAAATTGTCATATCCCGATCTATCCCTCACAAGCCTCTGCACTTGATTCGTCAGTTGGTTGTTGATGGTGAACGTCACGTTTCCGTTGGAATTGGGCACGAAATTGGCGACCAAAGATGGCGCCTGCTGAGCCGGTTGGTGGTGAGACGTTGTATTTGAGTTGTTGTAGTCGTTGCGACGGCATACCTATATTATAAAAAAATATTCAGTCACAAATTTGTCGAATGAAAATGTGAAATTGAATCTCCTCAAAATATGCCAGGAAGTTAGTGTCAATTCAAACGATTTTCTGTTTGTAAATCTAACAGTGCATGCTACTATTGTATAATTAAACTATTGATGTCGCACATTCTATATTGTTGTATGTCCCTCAAGTTTTTCTTATAAATAAAAATATGTACCTCCATCATTTGTACACTAGCCTTCACATTATTACAATGTGCGTAGTCTACCAGATGAGCCAGTCTAACGAACGGATGGTTGAGAGCCTCTCCAGGTGTGGTTCTTCGCTCCTGAAAATTCGAAAAAAGTTGCAGGGTATTCAACAGAAAATACTCCGTATACCGACAGAGTACTGTAAATACATAAACAAAAATTTGTTCAAAAAGATATTTTGGGCTAGGCTTATCAACAAAATGATTATCTTAAGTAATATACAAACTCTAATAACTCGTATTTTTCAATGTTGATGATTCTGCATTAGGGTGTCCCGAAAAAATGAACGTTTTTTTTGTACTGGGTGCGCCATCTACTACTTTTTTTTTACCTATAAGTTTATGTGTTACCATGTGAGCCAACTGTCAAAGGTATGTCATTAATGGTCATGGATTCGTTTACAACACAACAACGCATTTACGTTATCCAAACTTATTACGAAAACGGTCGAAATATAAAAGATACTTTTACAGAGCCTGGAATTCGTTGGATCGTTAATCCTTTTGAGGAAACTGGTTCGTAGACGATACCAACATGCTCGTCCAGCTCGTACTCGTGAAAACATAGCCGCAGTGAGTGAAAGTGTGCGAGAAGATCCAACCACCTCGACTGGGCACCGTTCGCAACAATTGGGAATTAGTGAGACCACTTTTCGCAGGATTTTACACATTGATTTACACCTCCATCCATACAAAATCCAAGTAACACAAGAATTGAAGCCGGCAGGGCGTGTTTTTGTTAGTTGGATGCTGGAAAGAGAAGACGGATTTTCGGCCAAAGTGCTCTTTTCTGATGAGGCTCATTTTCACCTCAATGGGTACGAAAATAAGCAAAATTGCAGATCCTGGGGGGCTGAAAATCCACACCAATATCATGAACAATCTCTCCATCCTGAAAAAGTGACTGTTTGGTGCGGATTATGGGCTGGTGGCATCGTTGGACCATTCTCCTTTAAGGATGCCGTCAACGGGGAACGGTATCGCGGCATGTTAACAGACTTTCTGTGGCCACAATTGGATCGTATTGGTGCCGACGATCTTTGGTTTCATCAAGACGGAGCAACAGCTCTCACATCTCGCCAAACAATCGCCTTATCGCACACGAAATTTGAAGACCGCATAATTTCACGAAATTCAGGTGTCAGTTGGCCTCCGAGATCGTGCTATTTAACACCTCTTTGGGGATTTTTGGAAGGAAAAGTGTATGCGAATGGTCCCCGGACAATTCAAGACCTAAAGCGCAATATTCGGACTGAAATTGCGGCCATAGACCCGATTATTCTGGGAAAAGTCATTAAAAAGTTTGATGTTCGGATGTTGGCGCGGTGGTTACATGACTGATGTTATTTTTCAGACTTGAAAGGCATAAACCAACCTTCATTTATCAATAAAAAAAATCGATTTCACCTCTTAAAAAGCGTGTTGATTTTTTAAATGGAAAAAAGTAATAGATGACGCACCCTATACAAGCGCACACCCTCTCAAAGCGTGGCAAGTGATTTGGGTGTGGGCGTAAGTACCATTTGAGAACGGAAAAAACAAAGCGAGAAAATTGAAAGTGGTCTAGTGTTCTGACATCATCGCAGCCGTCACGAAAAATTATGAAAAAGGGGGAATATCAAAAAGTGAATGATGCTTTAGACAGAATCGAGAACGTGGGCTAAAAATTTCCGGAACAATTCTAAAGCAAAAAACAGTCAACTTAAGTGAAGATTTGCCAGTTATTGAGGCGCCTGATAACTTTACAGCCAGTCATAGATGGCTGCATAGATGGAAAAAACGACATGGAAACGAGAATTAAAAGTTTTCGGAGAAAAGTTAAATGCCGATAAATCCGCTGCATTAAAATTTAGAGAACATTTTAAACAATTAATGAAGCAATATGGTTTGAATCCAGAACAAATTTACAAACGGGCCTAAATTACAAAATGTTACCGGCGAAAAGTTTAGCTTCAAAACAAAAATCTGGAGCTCCTGGTTAAAAACGCAGCAAAGAACGTGTGACTATCCTTGCTTATAGCAATGCTTTCGGTACGCACAAACTTGCTTTGCTGTTAATCGGAAAATCAGCTAAACCAAGAGCATTTAAACACGTCCATCCCAACGCTCTTCCAGTATGGTATAAAAATCAAAAAATGCCTGGATCGATGCCGTTCTATTTAAGGACTGGTTTTACAATCATTTTGTTCCCGAGACAGAACGATGTGCCGCTTTAGAGCAAAAGTGGAGACAGGTTGATGAATCTTATATCAAGAAACTTCTACAATCTATGCCGAGACGATGCCAGGCGGTGATTGATAATAATGGTTATGCTACAAAATATCAACACAAACATGGTTAGTTTTCTATAATTCAATGAACTTTTCTTCTTTTTTCTATAACACTGATCAACAGCCAAAAAATATCCTAAATAAAATCAACAAAATATTACTATTTTTAATGTGCTAAAACCGGAATGAAACTTATTTTTTCAATATTAGTTCAAGTTTTAGAGATACGGTAATTATATGTGTTCCTGCTGTGACAGTGTTAATATACTGTAATTCACAAGAATGCACGTGCTACATTTTTATATTCGGCAAGGAAAGATGATGTAATCGGCATGATTGTGTTACGTTATACATACGTGTACATTATATTGTTTTATATTAGCCATTTTTTCCTCAGTTGGCTGACAGCGTTCATGCAAGATGTCTCGAAAGTGTGTAAACAATCCAGATCAGTTTTGTTACGTGTGTGGTGATGTGACTTTTGCGTCTCACAGAGACGGTCTATTACTCCACTAATAACAAAGGCATATCAGCTTTATTTCGGTTGTAAACTAGGTGATCAAGACAAACAGTGGGCACCCCACATCTGCTGTAATACATGTGCTTCAAGTCTGAGGAGCTGGTTAAATGGCAAAAAACGGTCTATGCGCTTTGCTGTCCCAATGGTTTGGAGAGAGCCTACAAATCATATTAATGACTGTTACTTTTGCATGGTACCTTGTGTTGGACAAGCCACAGGTATGTCCAAGAAAAAAAAATCGGTTATTTACTACCCAAACATACCATCTGCGATGAGACCTGTGCCTCACAGTGACGAAAATCCTATTCCAAAACCCCCAGAATCCTACACTTGCGAATCAGAAAACGAATCAGATCATGGCGATCGAGTGATTCGTCAGGAAGAAGATATGCCATCAACGTCAAGAGATCCTGATTTTATACCGAGCACGTCATGCCACCAACCGCACAAAATAACACAGTCAGAATTAAATGATCTTGTAAGAGATTTAGAACTTCCAAAATGTAAGGCAGAGTTACTTGGATCAAGACTGCAGCAGTGGAACTTGTTAGAAGGCGATGTTTCGGTATGTGTTTTTCGTAAACGCCACAAAGACTTAGAACCATTTTTCATTATGGAGAATAACTTGGTTTTCTGCAGTAACATTTACGGCTTACTGGCGGCTTTAAATATAAACTATAACCCAGAAGAATGGAGATTGTTTATAGACGGTTCAACATTGAGTTTAAAGGCAGCGTTATTGCATATTGCATATAAATACGATGAGCACCAATGGCATATTTGTAGCGATTTGAAAGTTGTTGCACTTTTACTTGGGCTGCAGCTAGGCTACACAAAGTTTTGCTGTTTTTTGTGTGAATGGGACAGTCGGGCAAAGGCACTTCATTACACCAGACAAAACTGGCCTGTTCGTCAATTCCTAGAGCCAGGTCAAAAAAAGCAGCATATGCCATTAGTAGATTCGAAAAAAATTTTATTACCACCACTGCATATCAAGTTGGGCCTAATGAAAAACTTTGTCAAGGCATTAGATAGAGATGGGTCAGCTTTTCAATACCTGCGTCAGAAATTTCCAAAACTAAGTGAGGCAAAGGTTAAAGAAGGTATTTTTGTTGGGCCACAGATTCGAAATATTTTGAAAGATACACAGTTTGAAAACACTTTAACAGGTATTGAAAAAACTGCTTGGAATGATTTCCGTCTGGTGGTCACTAATTTCTTGGAAAATAGAAAAGCTGACAACTATAAAACCCTTGTCAAAAATATGCTGTCATCGTATCAAAAGATGGGCTGTAATATGACTCTTAAGATACATTTCCTACACTCACACCTGGACTGTTTTCCTGACAATTGCGGAGCCGTAAGTGATGAGCACGGCGAACGTTTTGATCAGGATATTTCAACAATGGAAAAAAGGTACCAGGGAAAGTGGGATCCTTCCATGCTTGCAGACTACTGTTGGACTCTTGGTAGAGATGCTCCAGAAACGATCCATAAAAGAACAGCAAAAAGACAGCGCATATAGTGATTCTTATAAGTATATGAATCTTGTTACTTTTTTTAATATATCCTTAAAAATAAAAAGTTTTTTTTTTCTAAACCGCAACTAATTTTTTTATTTCATTGTCATTTTTGGATTCAGCGCCCCAAAATTAACAAAGAAGTGCACTTTTCCCACAAGATACAATTAAAAAACTAATATTTGTTGTCCAGTGTAATTGTTTTGCTTTGTCTATATATTTTTGTCCTTCATAGTTCCAGTTTTTTCAATTAATTTTTCACTGAAGGGAGTCTAATGAAATTATTTATGTATAAGTGAGTATTATGCTATAACGAATTATGTATAAAGGTTGGTGTATTAATACAACAAGTTAAAAAAGAAATACAGCACAATATTAATTTGTCTCTATACTTTTGTCCAAATTGAATTGGATCGTAGAGATGAACCGTCTCAAACCCGCCGATCAAAATAAATATTGCTACCTGGTCCATGGTGAGCATCCTTTTGAGCAGATCGATAAACTCCTTCCTGTCGACCTTTTCCGCCAGCAACTGCCCGCCTTCCAGATCGGTGGGCACGTTCACTTGTCCGATGTCGTCGAGACAGTTGAAGATGTATTTCCGCGCCTCCTTCGATTTGATCCCCGTTTCGGCCTCGTGTTCCTCCGGCGTTTTCAGCCTCCAGAAAGGGTACGTGCTGTCCATGTCGCGGTAGAAGAATTTCGTCGTTTTCGATGCGTTGTTCAGCATGTGTTCGGTGGGCAGGCCTTGCGTTTGGCTGATATATCTGAAATTTAAAAGGTGTTATCGGAAAAACATAAAAAATCACTGTGTGGACGTCTCGCTCACCTGATCTGATCGTACTCCGACGAGCCGGGATACAGCGGCCAGCCGAGGAACAACTCGGCAACGACGCATCCCAACGACCACATGTCGATCGCCTCGCAGAACGGAAGGCCGAGGATGATCTCCGGTGCGCGGTAGTACCTGGACTGCAAATAGGTGTTGCACACCGCCTTGCTGACGTGACTGGCGCTGCCGAAGTCGATCACCTTGACGCGGTACGGCTGCCGCACCGGATCGACCAGCATTATGTTCTCCGGTTTCAGATCCGCGTGGATCAGTCCCAATTGCTGGAAAGAAAAACGGCGTCAGGCGGTATCGAACGCAGTTACAAAACGGTAACCGAAAATACAACCATGGTATACGAGGGTGGGCCGAGAAGTACCCGGCCTGACCTAGAGATGGCGATAGTTGTTTGAAAAATATCATTGTATTAGAAAGTGTGCAACCTATAAAGCGTATGTGTCAAGTTGGTTAGTACAGCAGACGCTCGATAATGTAAACTAATTTAATCCAAGTGTTTAATACATACTATTTATAACAAAATAAACGAATATTCTAACAGCGATAAGTATTTTTTAATTAGAAGAAAAATAATTAACAATTTTTGTCTGCGTAAATTTGCGCTTAGCATTGTCTTCCAATGCCTGCGCCCGTAATTTACGAAGAACTAAAATATCCGTGTATGAAACTTCTTTTCTTTCAGCCCAATTTCAAGCTTGGTTAAAAACTGGTATAGCTTGCGTGTCAGTCACTACACTTCTGACTTCAATGGGATCGTTCTCATCATCCTCACTGTGCATATCCTCCTCCTTATCAGCATCATTCGTCTGCTTATCTTCGTTCCATAAATTAATATCAGCAGGAGTACAAACAATGTTTTCAATAAATCAACAACATCCAATGACACACTAATAACATTATCATTATTGGATCGCAAACGTTCTCTAATGACGCTTAAGGGGACATCGTCTTCTTCATCATCTTCATTATTGGTACAAAAGAGATTGTTCCAATATTTTTGAATAGTTTGCTGGTTAAGTTCACTCCAGGCCATAAGTAAATCTAAAATAGCTTCTCGTAATGTTACTTTTTTTTTAAGTTTTCAGGATTCTTTGATAAGACAGACGAAAGTAGAAACTTCCTATAGTATAGTTTGGTGAGACTTATTATATTCTGGTCCATCGGTTGAATTAACGGTGTTACGTTGGGCGGCATGTACATGACGAAAATTGACCCATCCCTGCTCCTCAGTTGTTGCTCGGGAGGATGACTTGGTGCATTATCCAATAGTAACAACGCTTTTATTGGAAGCTTCTGTTGTTTTAGGAAACCTTTTACCTACAAATTGAAAACATATCTTCAAATTATGAATAGAGCATTTGTGATAATTGATTGTCATACCTGAGGGACAAAGCACCTGTGGAACCATTTCAGGAATATACTGCTAGTCATCCACACGGTTTTTGAACACTCATAATCAACAGGGACATTAACATGTTTAAATGAGCGCGGATTTTTTGCTTTCCCAATTACCAGTGGCTTTATTTTGTGTGCACCATTAGCATTAGTGCAGGCTAGAAAGGTTATTCGTTGTTTCTCCGGCTTTCTTCCCGGGGCAGATTTTTTAAATGATGCAGCATAGGTTTTCTCTGGTAACATTTTAAAATAAAGGCCACTTTCATTTGCGTTGTAAATTTGTTCCATTCTTAAATCTAACTCGGTAATTGTTTTCATCAATTTTTCTTTGAATGGTTGCACTAATTGTGGTTGTGCTGATAATTTTTCACCAGATATAGACAGCAGTCGAATTCCATATCTTGTTTTGAATCGTTCTAGCCAGCCATCACTAGCTACGAAATTTTCAGTTTCTTTCCGTTTTTCATTTAACAGTCTCGCTCTCTAAGTACTTCGCCACTAACTGGGACATGATTTTCCCTTTGTTTTAAAAACCACTTATACAAGGAATTGTCCATTTTAGGTGCCTTCGCATTTTTTAAAGTTTTTCTTTTTCCCGGACCTCCAAATGTATTGCACGTTCTTTGTAAAATTTGAATTTTCATACGTTTAATTTTACAGATTGTTGCTTTCGATACTCGATATTTTTTTGCTAACTGTGTCACTCCCGCACCTAGTGCAACTTCGTCTATGATTTTCACTTTCTCACTCAACTTTAAACATTTTCTTTCATAGGATGTGGATGCCATAGTCGTAAAATATATTAACGCGTGCAATGTATTCACTTAAGTTCAAAAATGAAATACATACGTACGTATAAACGTATCCTAAACGATCATACGACTGACCAAGTTTGTCGTATTTTATCGCAGAGGTGAATCCCCTACACTCTACATCATAAATCGGGGACTCCCCGACGCCCGACATAAATCATCGAGGCTTCAGCATTTTACCGTCGCGCTGTTTCCGTGCGCCGAGAGTTGTTTACGTTATCGAGCGTACACATTGTTTACGTTATCGCGCGTTCCGTTTGATCCCATAGAACGAAGTTTGTGTTTACATTAGCGCAAGTTTACATTATCACGTGTTTACGTTATCGAGCGTCTGCTGTATTTGTTTGGCAGCCATTAATACTGAACGTTTTCAGTGAATTGGTGAAAATGGAGAAAATTGGTCATCGTTATGTGGTACAATACTTTTATTTCAAACGCCTCAGCCGAACCAATATAAAAACTGAACTAGATTCTACTCTGGGTGAGTCTGCTCCTTCGTTTACAACAGTAAAATATTGGGTAGCATAGTTTAAACGAGGCCGTATGAGGTGCCAAGACGAGCATCGCAGTGGTTGACCAAATGAGGTGACGACTCCAGAAATGGTTAAGAAAATCCACAAAGCGGTACTGAATGATCATCGGCTGAAAGTGCGCGAGCTAGCGGACATAGTAGGCAATTCAAAAAGTGCGGTTCATCGCATATTATCAGACAATTTGGACATGACAAACCTGTGTGCAAGATGGGTGCCGCGATTGCTCACAATCGAGCAAAAACAGTGTCGTGAAGATGTTTCAATTGAATGTTTAGCGAAATTTCACAGTAACAAAGCGGAATTTTTGCGCCGTTTCATAACCATGGATGAAACATGGGAACATAATAATAATAAGGCCTTTATCAGCTGCAGTGAGGCGAAGTTTAGCTACTCTTACACTCAACCACACAACAGAAAAAAAAGAATACTTAAACACATAAACAAAATAATAACATGCAAAAAAATTCAGTTCATAAGCATGACAACATTGACTGATAGAGACATAGTATTGTGAGAGTTTTAAATTTGAAACAAAAATGAACACAAGAAAAACTGAACTAAATGGACTCAAGCAGCTGACTTTTCATTAATTTCTTAAAAGAAGCAACCTGTTAGGATCGATAGCCACTGTTGACTGCATTGTAATGTTTGACAGCATTATAGGCGTAACCTCTTTCAAAGACGGAGGTATTGTGAGGAGGCATGTTAAAATTAGCATCGAATCTAAGAACTCAGGTAACAAAACTACCACGGGGAACTAATTTGCTAGCAAGGTAAGCTGGTCTGTTAGATAATAGAACTTTATGCGTGAAGACGGTCAAAAGATATAAAAATAACTTAGCAATTCGCAACCAGTTGGGTTCTTTGATTTTATCTGAGACGCGACTAAACTTGCGCAATCCAAAAATAAACCTACACTTCACACCCGAGAAAAAAGAACAATCAAAACAATGGACTCAAAAGGGACAACGGGCTCCAAAGAAGGCGAAGACCGTTTCATCTGCAGGCAGGTTATGGCGTCGGTTTTTTGGGATAATTTTCATTGACTATCTTGAAAAAGGTAAATCTAACAACGGCGAGTATTATGCGGAGTTATTGCAATGTTTGAGCGATGAAATCAAGCAAAAACGGCCGCATTTGGTTAAGAAGAAAGTGTTGTTTCATCAAGACAATGCACCAGCTCACAAATCCGTCGTTGCAATGGCCAAAATTAACGAATTAAAGTTTGAATTGCTACCTCATGCACCCTATTCACCAGATTTGAACCCTTCGGATTATTTTCTGTTTCCAAACCTGAACAAATGGCACAGTGGTCAAAGATTTTCCGACGATGAAGAAGTGATGTCGGCAGTTAATGGATATTTTGAGGAGCAACACAGTTCTTATTATAAAAAGAGTATCGAACTTATTGAAAAGTGTATAGACCTCGAAGGAGATGTTGAAAGATAAATACATTTTTTACAAAAATTTTGTGTTTTCTTCGTTGGGTCCGGTACTTCTGGGACTACCCTCGTACTGGCTGATGCAATAACGAAGCGCCCGAGCGGTATGCCACCCTTCCCCGGCACAGGGAATCTCATAGCTGTTGTTTTGTGAACCTAAGCCCTTTTTAAAATCTAAGAAGCTGATTACAAGATAGCATCAGGAAAATGTCACCAAAATAAACTGAAAGCTCATTTTAGCCAAATAACGGACGAATGCCGTTTTCCTCCGGTACCCTCATATGTTATTTAGCTCTCATTTTCATATTCATATTAAAAAATCGTTTATTACCACCACATTTAGAAAAATTCACAAAATTAAATAGTCAGTATCATAAGTACGAAACTAGGCAGTATAGATTTTCATCTGCAAAATTGTAATAATTTTTTGCTAGTTCCTTTCTGGCAACACTGTTTTTGACAGATGACGCGTGAATCGTGTCTTGTGTCATTGTCAAACTTGTTCAGTTTGGTCTATAATTTAACCATGAATCGACTTACGAACGAACAACGCTTGCAAATTATTGAATTTTACTATCAAAATTCATGCTCGGTTAAGAGAGTGCATCGAGCGCTGCTTCCAATTTATGGGCAATTTGGTCGGCCTACTGAGGGAGCTATTCGGAAGCTTGTGACTACATTTCGAATTTATTGGACATTAAACCACCAACACGCAGACGTAGAGCGAGGACTGAAGAAAATATTGCGGCTGTATCAGCCAGTGTTAGTGATCACCGTGAAATGTCGATTCGCCGCCGTTCGCAGCAATTGGGCCTCTGTTACTCCACTACGTGGAAAATTTTGCGACAGGATTTGGGTGTAAAACCTTATAAGATTCAGCTGGTGCAAGAATTGAAGCCACACGACCTCCCACAACGTTTCCAATTTGGTGAATGGGCGCTGGCAAAGTTGGAGGAAGATCCACATTTTCATCGAAAAATTGTGTTCAGCGACGAAGCTCATTTCTGGTTGAATGGGTACGTTAACAAGCAAAATTGCCGCATCTGGAGTGAAGACCAGCCAGAAGCATTGCAAGAGCTACCAATGCATCCCGAAAAAATCACTGTTTGGTGTGGATTACACTGGTCAACAAAATTTTAACTTTGTCGTGCCACACGGACTTTTTTGATATTTTTTACTTTAATTGGTGATTGTAAGAAAAAATAAACAGTTAAAAAAAATTTGCTAGACAAGGATTTTATTCTATTGAGTAATTTAAAATATTAAGAAAAAACACAGATCTCGTAAATCAAAAGTTATTTTTTTTATAAATGACTTAATAATCTAAGATTTTCTTGAATATTTAGCTTCTGGTTGGTCCCTTTTAATTGTCCAGCAGTAATCTGCTAACATATTTGGGCTCCATTTGCCCTGGTACCGCTTTTCCATATTAGAAATGTCCTGATGGAACCTCTCACCGTGCTCGTCGCTGACAGCCCCTAAATTGTCAGGAAAAAAATCCAGGTGCGAGTCTAAAAAATGGATCTTAAGTGACATGTTGCAACAAAATGCTTGATATGACAATAATAGCTCGCTAACCAACTCTCTGTATCTGTCACTCTTGTGGTTACCCAAAAAATTTGCAACAACATTTTTAGAAGCCTTCCATGCAGATGTTTCTAAATCGCTTAATTTTTCTTCAAATCTTGAATCTTTTATTAACTCCCTAATTTGAGGGCCAACAAAAATACCCTCTTTTATCTTTGCATCCCTTATTTTAGGGAATTTTTCTTTTAGATACAAAAATCCACTCCCATTGCGATCCATTGCCTTCACAAAATTTTTTATTAATCCTAATTTGATATGCAATGGTGGTGGAAGCACATTATTTGGCTGTACAATGGGTAAATACTTTACGCTTTTTTGCCCAGAAACTAACGATGCACGCATAGGCCATGTTTTTTTTATATAGTGATTAGTTCTGTCTCGGCTATCCCATTCACATAAAAAGCAGCAAAACTTTGTATAACCCAGCTGAAGTCCAAGTAATAGTGCAACAACTTTAAGATCACCGCAGATTTTGAAGGAATATGTACTGTAATTTATTTTATCAAATAAAAGTTTCATATTTTCATAGGTTTCTTTCATATTTGCAGCATGGGCCAGAGGTACAGACGGAAGCTTATTTCCATTATGCAATAACACTGCTTTTAGACTTGCTTTCGAAGAATCAATGAATAAACGCCACTGAGAGAGATCAAAATCTATGTCCAACATTTTCATAATCTCATTTATGTTATTGCAAAACACCAAATCTCCATCCTGAGAAAAATACGTTCTGAAGTGTTGATCACGGTTTCGAAAATAGCTAACTTTTGTATTATGATGTAGCAAATTCCATTCTTTTAGACGTGATCCTAATAGTTCTGACTGCTTTTTTGACAAATTTAAATCCCGAACCAAATCATTTAGGTCTCCTTGAGTTATCAAATGTGGCTCGTTTACAATTCCTTTTAACTCAAAGTCATCGTCCTCGTCAACACATTCACCTGAAGTGGACGGTTGTGAATTGTTCTCAACAGACGTAGTTGCAACTGGTATTAGTTCTGGCAATTTTTTACAATGAGAGACTGGTCTTATAGCCGAAGATAAGTTAGGGTAAATAACTGTGGTTTTTTTCTTGTAATTTATACCTTTTATGTCTGTGAGACAAAAATAGCAATCTGAAACGTGATCTCGCTGTTCAGTCCATATTATGGGTACAGCAAACGGCATAGGTCGTGCACCTTTCTTCCAGTCAGTTAAATTTTTCACACACGTTATGCAACAGACATGAGGGGGCCAGGATTTCTCTTGATGGGCGACAGAAAAACCAAAACATTGGTGATAACACGCCAACACAAGATTCGTAAAATTTCGTCGTTGTTTTTTGAATGTTAGTTCTCCGCAGACATAACAAAAAAAGTTAGGATCATTATTACACTTCCTCGACATATTCACAGGGTTAATAAATCACAAAAAGTGTTCAAATTCAACAACAAATATTTTTATAAGGATTTACTTGTAAGCGTTTCTGTTAATTTACTGCCGTAGTACTAGTTATGAGTATTACCGTATCACAACAAATATGGTCGACCGTTCTATCGACTCAAATAAAGATTTAATCGTTTTTTCAAATTTTTTGTCTTTTTTTTTTGAAAATCAAATCCTATACCTCTGAAAAAATCACCCGTTAGAAGCATAACCAGCAAATCTGTTTTTCGAAATGGAGTACTTGAATCTAATAAATTGAATAATTACATTAAACAGTAGTAAAATTTAAAAATGTTATGCTGGATGGCTTACCTTTAGTTTGAGCAATGCAGTCAGAACCTGCTGCAGTATCGGCCTGATGTATTTCAACGGCAACGGGCTAAACTTGTTCTGTTTGAGAAAGTCGTATAGGTTCTGTTCGAGCATCTCGAATACGAGACACGTGTGGTTCTTGTGCTGGAAGCACTCGTACGCCCTGACGAAGTTGAATTCGTCCGCATTTTCTTGGCTCAATCTCGACAAGATGCTCACTTCTATTTGACCCTGGAACAAGAAACGACAATTCGATATATTGAGACTCAACGTTCTACACCGAGTATTTGCACTGTTTTCGCATGCGAAAATGCCGCTAAAAGGCAAACGGTTTTCTATTATAAAACTTGCTGATTTAAGGACTGGCTTTGGCTGATGGAGAAGTGTATCGGATGTGGCGGAAACGAAGTCAATAAATAAAGCTGTATTGCAAAACTTTTGTAGTACCACTTGTACAATTAAAACGAAATCTACGGTAAAACAAATGTACAAATGTTCGACTAGATACTGAATTCGTAGAAAGTTTTAAATACCTTGGAGTTTTCGTTGAATCTCAATTAAACTTTATTACTTATCATGAGAAAATTATCGGTTAATAGTAAAGTGGGATATTTATCAAGAGTTTCTGGATGAGTTCGTATAATAGAAAAAATATCTATAATACAGTGGACCTCCCGGTAATCCGACAAACATTATGCAGGGCAGTGTCGGACTATCGAATTTGTCGGATTATAGAGCAATGCCTAAGACGCTCTATAGTCCGGAATTTTTTACAAAAGAGTACCTTGTAATCCGACAAATTACATATCCAATGGTAAGATTATATGTATATGTATGTACCTTAAAGTACAAATCATACATAGTTTATGTATGTCGAATTTAGTAAATTAAATAACAATAGAGAGCTTACGTTTTATCATAAAATTAAGCATAAATGCACCAACATATGTACCACAATAATCAAGAATTATTAATCAAAATCATTAATGAATTTATCAAATTACGAAGCTTGGAAATATTCATCAATTTTTTTGTTGTTTAAGGTTGTTATAACGCGAGTTTAGCGCTTTGTCCCTCAGTCTTCTCAAAAGTAAAAGTTCGTTGTAGGATGTACCATTCTCTTCAGCCCATTGTAAACCTAGCTAAAAGGCGTTAATTGCGTCTTGTGCTGTGACTTGTGGAGCAGTTGCAATCACGTCGTCGTTATTTTCCTGATTGTTTGTTGTATAATTAGAAACCTCTTTTATAATCTCTTCGTCAGACATTTCATGAAAAACATTTTCCTCTTCATCCATTCCACGGCACCAGATATCCAAATCTTCCGGACTTATCTGTGTTTCAGTAGCGACTTGTTCTATAACTTCCGAAGTAGCACTGATTTGTGGAACGTTGCTAGGAGTGGTGACTATATCTGGCCATAACTTTTTCCAAGACGATTTAATAGTTGATGACGGTAACGCATTCCACGACTGACAAAGAGCAAAGACCAAGTCTTTCATATTAAATTCTTTTGGTTGGTCTTTTGATACGGCTCTCAGAAGTAGGTTTTGCTTATACGTAGTCATGCCATAAGTTCTGTCCCTCGTTTTCAAACAAGTGTAGACCTGTTAATACTTGTCCGATTGTTTACATTGTGGTGTCAGTTGATTAAGCGCTTTTCGGGTAATTACATATACCTCAGTTTGTATTGACCTCTCGAAGCATAACGATGGAGTGGGGCAAGGCAGAGAACCGTATTGCAGTGATAGCTTTACATAAGTGTAATCACAGTGCTAGTCAGATTTTTGAACTCTTACGCGGCCTTCAAATATCGCGTAAATTTGTGTCTAGGACCATTCAGCGGTACAATGAGACGTCCTCTGTTGATGACAGGCCAAGAAGCGGAAGACCTCGTCAAGTAAGGACTCCAGCAGCCATCAAAGCCGTAAAAGCCAGGATTCAAAGGAATCCACTCCGGAAGCAGAAGATCCTATCCAGGGAAATGAAGATTCCTGTCCGGACGATGTCGCGCATCATTAAACAAGACCTAGGGCTAGGGGCTTACCGGAGACGTACGGGCCGGCGACTTACGGCCACCTTGCGACACATCAGGGCGACAAGATCCAAGAAGCTCTTGGAGAGGTACGCAGCTGGGGGATTCCGAAAGATTTTGTTCACGGATGAGAAAATCTTCACCATAGAAGAAAAATTCAACCGACAAAATGACAAAGTGTATGCAAGGAGTTCACAGGAAGCTTCGGAGATCATTCCGAGAGTTGAGAGAGGCCACCACCCTGCGTCAGTCATGGTTTGGTGGGGGGTGTCCTACGAAGGGGTCACTCAGCTCCATTTCTGTAAACAGGGCGTGAAAACAAAAGCGGCAAACTATCAGAGCGACATACTGGATCCTATCGTCAAGCCTTTAAGTGGTACATTGTTTGCCAACCAACACTGGGTCTACCAGCAGGATTCCGCCCCCGCTCACAAGGCTAAGAGTACGCAGCGCTGGCTGGAAAGCAATGTGCCAGAGTTCATTGCTGCGGAAGATTGGCCCTCAGGGAGTCCGGACCTCAATCCTTTAGACTACAAGTTGTGGGACCTGCTAGAGCAGTTGGCCTGCTCCAAAGCCCACCGTAATATCGAGTCCCTGAAAGCGGATTTGATCCGATCAGCGGCAGCTATTCCTTTGGAAGCTGTGCGTGCAGTGATAGATGAGTGGCCCGCGAGATTGAAGCAGTGTGTGAAGGCCAAGGGGGGACATTTTGAATAAAACTGTTTGATTATGAATTCTAAAAATGTTGTCGAATAAATAATATCTTTCATATAAATATATCTTATCTTGTTTCATTTTTATCATGAGATTATCATGGGACAGAACTTATGGCACGACTACGTAGTCTTGCTTGACAAACTGAATGATATTCTGGTCCATTGGTTGAATCAGTGCAGTGCAATTTGGCGGAAAAAACATCGCAGTGATGCATTTATCCTCAGTTGTTAGTTCTTCTTCAGACGTATGACCGGGAGAGTTATCAAAAAGCAACAATGCTTTTTGAGGAAAAGTACGATCTTTTGTAGATCGGCCTACGCCGTATTCATTTGCTAAACTACTGAAAGTTTCATTGCGATTTAAGTTGTCTAAAATATCACATTTTTCTTTAATTGTCAATATTTCGTGCTTCTGAGTTTGTGATGACATTACTAGGTACTATACTTAATACACAATGAATAAATAGTAAACAATGAACGCACGCTAGGAAGTACCGCTATCACCAGTAGTCAAATTCAAACTAAGTAAAACAATGCTTACGCGTCGAGCACGATAGCGGTGGCGCGTACAAGTTGTAACCTGTTCAAACCTGCGTGATCTACATTAGCGAAGATTGTCCAATACGTATGTATGTAATATTCAAAGACATGTCGGATTACAGGGGGCGCCGGATTAGACAGGGGCCGGATAATCGGAGATCCACTGTATTATCACTCATTCACAAGCATCAAAAAGCCCACTTTTCGACTCCAAATAAGGCTTCGCGCTATTTTTAGAGGCCATGTTTAGATTCAGCCTTCGAAAGCATTGCGAAATTTCGAAGTTTATTCATTTTAATAAATCCGTGCTTATCTGCAATCTGGAAATTTTGCTCGAAAACGACACATACTGAGTCAATCTACTTGCACCTTGAACCTATTGCTTTTACATTAATGAAAAAAATGATAATACGCATATATGTATAAGCAAAATTCGTATTTAACTAAAAACGTGACTACTTGATGCTTTCCAAATACGCGAAAATGATAATCATTTTAACCTTCAGATTTGTATTTTGATAACGAGAGTGTGTGTGTTTTTTAAGAATAATTTCATATTTAGATGAGTAGATAATAGTTCGCTAGCTCTGTGACGAAATAACTGAACGCGTCCGCTTGAACTCGTTAATGATTGTTTTATATAACACTTTCATAATGCAATACTACGATATCCACATGTCATTATCGTTGTGTTTTTGCAGCTAGATTGAACGTGTTAAAAAATGACGTCAAGTACACTGCTTTAAAGTTGCTAAATTCTGACTTGGCAAAAATAATTGTAAATAAACTAAAATTGAATGCTTTTAAAACAAAATTTGCGCTAATAGGGAGATACTTAAATGAAAATACGCAGTTACGATAAATGGTGAAATAATTGAAAATGTTGAATCAATTAAATATTTGGGTATTTATAGATAGTAAAGTTTGAGGATAACTATGAATATATTATTTAAAAAATTGCAAAACAAATTACTTTTATAGGACTTCTCATAGTAAAAAAAATATAGTTTATAACACAAATATTCTACCGCATTTATACTATATTGTTCAACTATCTTCACTACCAATGAAACTGTATTCTCAAAATTACAAGTCCTGCAAAATAAAGCTATGAGAATAATATTGGATAAAAATAATTACAGAAAAATAAAATATAAAAACTTCCAAATCAATCGTTCAGAAAGGATGACTTAAATTTAATAATCATATAATGATATAATGTCTACTTGTAAGTTAAAGATGTTTAACAGCAAAAGGAATGTTTCATGGACAGTGAAAATTCTTAGAGGCGCAATTTTTATTTTTCTCAATGTTTCTATGTTATGAAATTGTTGTTTTTCAAAAGAATGTCTTTGTAGAAATTATGCTAAACAAATCTTAAACGACAAAAACAAGTAATTCATATCAACAAAACAATTTCTGAAACTTATTTTTTCCGAGGTTTTGACGCTAGACAGATCTACAAAAACTATAACGCTTTTTCGCAAAGTACTAACCTTGACTAAAAATCTAAGTGGTGCTTCTCTAGTTATAGAGACATGGTTTTTTACGATAATACATATTCTTATCTGTAAATGCCACATAAAATTTAAACAAGATTCATCCTGAATGAACAGCCATAGACAGAAATAAAATAGGTAAAAAGAATATCTAGGAAAAGTAAGTCAACAGGGGACACTGTCCCAGTTTTGAGAACAATACAAAATCTTTCACATAAGATGCAAAATTTACAACCCCTAACCTGCAATTTTCAACGAACGTAAAATTTTTCATACATTATTTTCTGTGACCCTAGACGTTGATGAATGAAATACGTTACGATAGGTTAGGAATTATAAGGTCCGTATGATTTATAGACTGGTAATTAAGCATTCTATAAATAGAGACAGGTCAAAATAACTTCTGAATAGTAATTTAGACCATTTGGCAACATACTGTGTGTATTATTTGCAAGCCAACATTTCAACAGCTCGCAACGACCGCATTTAATTATAGTTTTGCTTTTCTAAAATTGAACAGATTTTGAATCTCGATAATTTGCACAGAATATTCAACAAAATAAACGTAGAAACAATATGACCAAGACGTGAAATCTGTTGACCAATCATTTGTTGACCTAAAGGTGGCAAACACCAACCATGAAAATTCAGTATTAATTAGTATGTTATTATATTAGAAAATATACATGGTGTCCCAACATTATGGAGACACCCAAATATCTCGGAAACTAAGGACACTAGAAAAAACTTTAAGCAAAGAAGTTCAAGAAAAACAACAGATTTGACGTTGACATTCACCTTGAAGGTCATTTCAAGAGCTAATTGATTTTTCATATGGGGACCCCCATTTCCTTTACAACATAGTAAATATAAAAATGAAGCATATTAACGAAGAACTTTTAACGAGAGAATTGCAGGACACCCAACGGCACATCTTCGATCAATCAATTTGCCCTTCATTCTGACCTTGAAGGTCAAATCGGCAGATTTGACGTCGACATTCACCTTGAAGGTTATTTCAAGGGCAAACCGATTTTTCCTAATGGGAACCCACATTTTTTATTGCAGAAATAGAAAGCCAAAAAAAATTCCTTTTCAACGATATATGTAAATATATAAAAATAATAAATATTAAAGAACTTTTAATGCGGAAATTGCACGACACCCAACGGCACATCTTCAATCAATCAATTTGACCTTCACTCTGACCTTGAAGGTCAAATGGGCAGATTTGACGTTGACATTCCCCTTGAAAATCATTTCAAGGGCAAGTTGATTTTCCAAAATGGGAATCTCCATTTTTTATTGCAGAAATAGAAAGCCAAAAAAATCCTTTTCCACTATATATGTAAATATAAAAATTATGAATATTAAAGAACTTTTAATGCGGAAATTGCAGGACCTCCAACGGCACAACTTCAATCAATCAATATGACCTTCATTCTGACCTTGAAGGTCAAATTGGAAGATTTGAAGTTGACATTCACATTGAAAATCATATCAAGTGCAAGTTGATTTTCCAAAATGGGAATCCCCATTTTTTATTGCAGAAATAGAATGCAATCAACGATAAATGTAAATATAAAAATGATGAATATTAAAGAACTTTTAATGCCGCACACCTTCAATCAATCAATTTGACCTTCATTCTGGCCTTGAAGCCAAAATTGATTGTTTCACATGTTTCACCCTTCAAGTTTGATCCTGGCGCTGAAAATGGAGAATATGTTCATGTTCAAAGGTTTAGAGGTTATTTCAATTTGGTGCCATGTCCAATCGACTTATTTTGAGCCTCTTATGGTCCACCCTGCATATAAAAATAAAACGGTCCATTCTCGTACTCCAACCAACACGGTAGGTAGAAAATTCGCTGTAGATAATCTTACATACCTGTCTAGCATACGACGGGTGATTCTTGAGGATCTTGATGGCGACGATTTCGTTTGTGCCCTTCTTCCAACATTTGACCACCTGTCCGAAGGTGCCCCTACCGAGGAACTCGAGCACCTCATACTGATTGGTCATGGAGTAGAGCACCTCATGCTGGACCAATTGGTAGTCGCCGTCAGCGCCTGAGCCCGATCCTGCGGACCAATCGAAAACGCGGTGGCGGTGGTGAAAGTGACAGTCGGTTGCCGAGCAAGCGCCCCCTACCGTCACTACAACCACTCACCCACACACGATTTTGACATGTGACGTGTGACATATGAAGGTACGGTCGACGTGGTGTGTCGCTCTAGGCGGCGCTCTAGATTTGTCTCTTGGCGCGCTGGTTGGGGCGCCTAAATTGGGCTTTGCTGGCTGCTAAATAGGTTTCTTGACATGATACATTGCAATTTGACTCAAAATTTTATGGTGTCTGCCTGTGTATCACTTCATTATTTAAGAAAAAAATTACCTCGGCAAAAATGTTAGTTGTCTCACAAATATGAATGGGACATAATGGATTCGTAGTATCTTCTAGTATTTTAATTTCAATAGAATATTATACAATTCCAAGAATCAAATCTAAACACATTTAAGTAAAAGACTAGACGATGTTGCAGCTTGTTAATCACATTGTATGTCCGTCATATCTAAACTGATCCAGACATTTTGCACCTAAAAAATAATCTAAACCGGAGGTGTCATGTAGACAGGATCAATGGTGCTAATATAATGCTTGTTATAGTAGGGATAAATGTCCTCAAAACAAGCTTCTCGAAAACTAGAACAATCTTTAACTGGTATTCTGTCGACTTTGAAAATATTTTTTTTAAATAATAAATAAGGTTTGGCAATGCAAGTTAATGTACATTCCTGGAAATAAAAGTTGATTGAAGAAAAGCGGCCTATAATAGTGACAATAACTATAAAGTATATCATAAATAAATATAAAGTAACAATATTATCGTGCAATTGGTTTTGAAATACCTCTTCAAATGAGGTCAGGAAAAAAATAATTTTTGGAAATACTCTTTTTCTTAGTAATCTCAATGCGCAACTTTGCCCCCCATTTTAGAGTGCCAAAAATTTCGACATAGATTGTTCGAATTTCAAGTTTTGTCATTCCTTTCATATTTTTTATAGGAAAAATGAAGTGTACTCTGTAATAAAATTCAGCAGCCAACAAAAAAAATCAGCTTTGTTTCTGTTTTGAAATTATTTACCAAAAGTATAAATCCAAGGCAACGTGCAATTTCTGTATATGAAATCAGATCAAACACAAAAATGAGTAACTACTGAAAAAATTATGAAATATAGAATAGTATTTGAGCATTTTTAATAAACACGCTTCAAAGGGTAAATAGCCAATCATCTGTATGTGGGTTTTTAACAAATGGATCTATTTATTATTATTGAATTAGTATTTGAACACGTCCTCTACTGAAGTCTTGAAACAAAGCGGATTTTCCCCCGAAACTAATTTCAAAATAATATACCAAAAAATAAGAAACTAACTGTGCTGGGGTCCTCTTCTTTTACCTAAATCATGTTTCCGTGTATAGCCAGGATATTTACCCATCGTCAAGTCCGTAGATCGATCCCAAAAAGAAACAATATCTTTGTTGTAGATTACAATTTTCATGAAAAATTTAGCGTATATTCTGCTACCACATTCATCAAAGTTATGCATGGGAGATCCGAGATTTTAGAGTCGCTAGACCTGCGTCCTTTTATAAAAGTGAGATAATTCCAATGTTTTTTCGAATCTTCAATAATTTTTTGACGCTAAAATGTTACTTTTTATAAAAGGGACGTAAGCTTTGAGAGTCTGATCTAGGACCTTGTTTTTAATCCTTTCATACGAAACAACATGCCATTCCTTGTGAATAATTTTGCAATGTATTTTAGATACTGATCTGGCAACTATCAAGCTGAAAACGCTTAAAAACACAAGCCAGCTCTATGCAATTAAAGATAGAAATAACAACTTGCTGCATAAACAACTGATACAAATACATTTTTTATTAAAAGTTTTTATCAGATAAACAGCATTGCAAGTTTTTCTTTATTACTTTATGAGCTAACTATGAACTAATGTCTGTTTGTTTAGAACATTTTATTATCTGAAAAATGCATGCTCTTCATCAACAATGATAACCGTTGATATATTTAGTTACGTGTATTTTATAGCTCACAACTTTTTCCAGTCAAAGAAAAATTACATAACGCAATGCGAAATAGCATCACCAAGAAATATAGTCTAAAAAAATTAAAATTCATGGTTTTATCACCATAAAAAGAACCATTATTACTCACAAAGAATTAAACACATCATAACACATTCACACACTTTTGAAAAGTTCATCACAGAAAAGCTTGACATACTAGATTAGAAGTAAGCAACTAATGTTTATTTTTTGTTGAATTGGAGGGTCATTTTTTTAAGTAAGAACCATTTTGTAATGGAGTCTGAGAAATTTTCTTTATTAATACAAATCGTACCAAAAACTAAAATATGAATAGTTCTTACTTTAAAAATGGCCCTCGTAGATGGTCATCTCTAACAGTACTGATCTAAACAATGCAGGATAAAGTTACATATGAGCATGTATAACAAAAAAAGCAAGGATCAAGTCAGTCAAAAAGGCCCATAAAATTAGTCCATTTGATATAGTGTGGTGGTCTAGAACTTCCTCACCTGCCCTAGATACAGTGTCAACCATCTGGAAACGCGCCTGTTGAAAATATATCTCTATCATATAGTTTTAAGAGCAACTATACATAAATATGCACAGGCAGGGTTGGAAGCGAATGAATACACTAAAACTGGATTAAACCCTTCCCCACAATCCACAATTTCTAACACCCACATAAGATTTTCGTCGCCAGTGGCGCGGGAAGTAAAAATAAAATTAATTTCAATTAATTCCTCAAAATGACTGAACTGTGAGAGATGACCCTAAGTCGAAGAAGTACAAAATATGCGGGAATGTATCGACTTACCTTGCGGCTGGGGGTTTGTGGCCCCCGGGGCCGCAGCAACCTTGCTGTGGGCCGTCGTGGTGATGTTTTCTGAAGGACTGAAGGTTTTAGACTCAGCTGCGTCGCCGCAGCTATTACCATTACCTTCAGATGACCAATTTTTACGCTGAAACATAATATATATCTCAAATCGGACATTCAAGAAAATCCAACTTTCAACTTGCTGCCATAAACATTTCTTGAAAAAGCCGTTGATTGTATATGGTTATAAATTTAGTAATAATTTATATATTCGTTTAAATACACTTAGTTTTACGATCTTTTTCACAACTTTTGGTAAATGGCTAAAAAGTTTTTGACAATTGTAAAGAGGTATGTTCGAATCTGCTTCAAACCCAAAATAATGATGTTCTTTTTTCCTAATAATTCTATTGCTTAATCTAATTTAGATTCAAAATTTGAATGATACACAACTTTCAAGTTTTTCCATCCCAATATTTATTCTTATACAATAACACACCTTATTGAGCTTATTTCTTAAATAACTTACACCTGAGGTAACTATCTAATTCAAGGCCAAGAAATCTAGTATTTCAGACACTGTAATTCTTGTACCATTAAAACAAATTGAATTTTGCAAATAATTATGAGAAATGAGTAGATTAGTGATTTACCTCGTTCAAAGATAAGAAATTAAAAATTCTGTATATAATGAAACTGTTCTTACCTTTTGGCCACAGCGTTGTTGTGTATCTAAGAGTTTAATGGTAGATGTCCGCACAAAAGTTTGTTGACCACCATTGCCAGGACTGGCATGGTTGATATTTGTAGTGAGATTAGATTCGTTCACACAGAAAACTTGTTCATTGAACGTAGACAGTTCACCACGATGGTTTGCATTACCTGTGGCACTGTTACTACCGTTTGTATAATATTCTGCTTTACGTTTTTTTGGTTGCACAAATACGTTGCTGCTGCTATTTGTCGCAAACTGATGGGGATGGATGAACATGTCATGCATTCCCTGGAACAAAACAAAAAATATGGGTTTTATATTGAATTCACGGAACATTTTGAATATCTTGTGGTTTTTGTTGACTTTCAATTGAATTTTGATATTCTTTATGCGAAAGGTTAGGAGTAAAAAGTTTCTGGATGTCTTCAATACTATCATTCTTCCAAATTTCTTGCACTGTTCAAATATTCTATAATTAGGTAATAATTTAACTTTTAAATGACAGCAAAATTTCTCAAAACAAGTGCATGAGTATAATATTGAATAAAGATAAATATAGTCCAATTAGACAAATTAAAATGGCACAATATGGAAAATTCTAGCAAATCTCTAATGATATTAAAGATGATTTCCATTTAATGTCCAATGTTTATGCTACAAATATGTACTCCATCAAGGGTTGATTGAATATAATGAATTAAATACAGAGATAAAAGATTGGAAGACTTTGGAGAAAGACTTATAATTTTCACTTCACTTGCAGTGAACAAGATAGTTGAACAATACAGTAAATGTGGTAGAATAATTGTATTATGAACTATTTTTTGGAATATATACTAAAACTATGAGAGGTATAAAAGTAATGTTTTTTTAGCAATTTTTGAAATAAATAATGTATCCATAGTGATCCTCACACTTCAGTTTACTATCAATATATACAGGGTGGCACGTACAGCCCCCTAAGCGGTGGTGACACCACCCCCAAAATCTTAAATGGAAAGGGGGGTCGAGTGATACCTTATTTTAAAGGTCTTTCAATTCCCTTTATAATGATTCATTAGTGGAGATTAATACTTTTGGCAGCAAAGTAATTTAAAAATGATGAATGAACTGACCCTTTAGGCAAGTAAATGTTGAAAATAGCCACCATGAAATGCAATAATAGATTTTGCTAAAAACGTTGCTGCACATTTTGCAATATTTGAGGAGTAATTTGAAGGCACTCATTCACAATACTTTCTCGCAGGTCTTCTCATGATGTTGGCTGAGTAGCATAGATTTTGCTTAATAAACAAACCATGGGTGTAGTGAAGAAAAGCATTTACTTATTAAGTAAATTCTTTTAGTCAAATTTCTTCTGAAAGTAGTACAAACTAATCTGATGTACCTATTAAAGTCTACTTCAAGCTTTAAATCAATAAATCTTCAAAACTACTGTACTGAAGCTCATGTATTTCACATCATTATGAAGGGAATTGAAAGACCTTTAAAATAAGGTATCACTCGACCCCCCTTTCCATTTAAGTATGTCATTAATGTATAAAATAAATAGTAGTGGGCCTAGTTTACTACCATGTGGTACACCAACAGAAATATTTTTGATACTGTAGATCCAATTTCTGTTTTTTGACTTCTGCCAATTGGGTTTTGTATCTTTTTGAATCCATACTGTTGCAATTTTGTAAGAAATTTATCCCTGTCAATAGTATTCAAATGCCCTTTTGAAGTCCAAAAATACTGTCACTGTATTGCCCATAAATTCAACGTGAAATTGAGGAATCACTTGTAAATCTACAATTATAGCTTGCCAAGCATTTACATCATATGGCTTGAATTTACTAATTTTAGAAGTTTAGAATTGTTCTGTTTATATAGTCAAATGTGCTAAATAAATCTTTCTACTACTACTAGAAATTCAGAAGATACATAAAAGGAGACAAGGGATAAAGAGAAGAGAATCATGAAAACGAAATGATAAAAAAGAGTAAATATGCAAGAATAAGCTGGAAATTAATAAGGGCTGTAAAATTGACAGAGACAGAGAAATGGGAAAAAGACAGAATGAAAGTCAAGATACAGAAATAGGCAAAGGAGATACAGAGATACTATGGACAAAAAGAAATGGAGAAAGAGGAAAAAAAGAGGTAGAGAAATAGAGAAACAAGACATTGGAGACAGATAAAGAGGCAAATACTAATTGAGAACGAGACAGAGAAAAATACACTGGGGCAGAATGAGACAAAAAAGGAACAGATAAATAGAGACAAAAAAAAATTACAGAAATGAAGAAAGAACTCAGAGGAAACAGCATTGAGGCTAGAAAGAGAAATAAAGGAAGGGTTAGAGAAATAGAGGAAGACAGTAAAGACAAATAAAGAGACAAATTGAGAAACAATGCCAGATACTAAATGAGGTAAAGACGCAAAGACAGAAAAGAAGATAGAGAAGGAAGTAGAGGAAGAGATAATGAATACAGAGCAAAAAGGCATTGATAACAAACATGAGAAAGTTACAGAAATAGAGGACACATACAGATATGGACAAAGAAAGAAATAAAACTATATCTATTTATGGCTCAATAATAATCTATACTGTAGCTGAATTTCTGATTTTAGACTGTACTGTTTCCAAAAACTAGGTCAAAAGTGAAGGTCGAAATGATCAAAAAGTGGAGCAAAAACATTGTCTAATACCATCTCATTTTTGGCAAAATATGCAGGTTAACATAAAAAACACATCATGCTGGCTGAGACACCTTATGCATGATTGTACTGTAGAAATTATAGCTACAATGTTTGCTCAAGTGGTTAATTACTGCACATTTGTATTGTCTCGTTCTCATTTCTAATTAATATGGATATAAAATAAGTGTAAACATTCACAGTATGTATGCTTCTGACGTAAATAGAATTGATAGCTTCAGAATCTAACATAATGTCCTGGTAGTAACCACAGCATTTCCATAAACTGTAGCTCCTCATGCAATTATACGAGTAATTAGTATTTATAAGCTTTCCAATAATACACATAAATACAAGGCATATAAGCCTTTTGTGAGGTGTTTGACCTGACCTATGACCTCTGCTGTTACACTTCCCAATTTCAAGCGTGGATAATTTTGCGCCAATACACAACGCAAACAGCGAATATTTTAACTTCTGGTTTAAGTATAAACAGCCTCCAAAAATAAATTGTAGCTGGAATAGTGCATTTGAAACAGACGAGGCCACAATTCAGGGCCTTCCATACATAGTGGGAGTAGACAACAAAATGTCGGAATTTCGCCATATCAGGCCATGCAGCGTGGAATTTTCTACAAGATACTGATCTGCGATAATTGCAGAATCTTTCCTCACCTCTCTATCCTCCTTTCTGGTGCAAATAGCGCTGCTCTCATGCTGACATACGGACAAAGAATTTATCTTGAACGTCCAGCCATCTTGGCAGAGTGTCGCCGAGTTTGTTTACAAACGATTTTCTAGCGTATTGCGGGAGTTCACTTGAATATTTTTTATACACACTCGTTCCGACACATCTCTCACACAAATGTACACCACATTTTTACACAAAAACTACAAAGTTGCTCCATTTTCCGTCGTTTTCTTCATGCTGTTTCACACACGTCCACTTTCGAGTCTACGTATTCATTCTCGTTGACGACACGGCCGCTGGCGGCGCTAGCCGTCGCTTTGGAAATCGGGGACGGATATCAACTTATAGACCAGGAATCTTTGGCCAACTTCGAAGGTAATTTTATAGCTGCATATCTTTACCCAAAATTGCCAAAGAAACGAAATCTTAGCGCAATTTGAAGGATGTCTGACTGATGTTTAACATAACCTTAAAGTTACCACGTGAAAAAGATGACATCGTGAATACGAGGGATGTCCTTTAAGTTTTGCATATAGAAACATAGTAGGCCGCGCGGATCGAACGTCAGTACTGAATCTTAACCTCACTCTTTAGTAAACTTAAATTCAAAGTTTCGCAATGATACGTGCAGTGTTCTCACTACAGTGATAGTTGCTTCCACAAGCGCAATAAGTATGTCATTATCCATGTTCATCGCTTTATCTATTGTAAACGTATATACAGTCGTAATCACGGCCATTCAATAATAGGTGAGTGCGCAAGCTCCTATTCAAACACGTATGCCTCTATATTCCCGGTACCGGCGCATCACAGTGACAATGTCCTGCTGCTAACCGGCTTTTTTTCCGGTGCCGGTCGGTGGTCGGCCAGTATGCAATGTCCTCCAATGGTTTACTATTAAAATGTGGTCGGCCGATATTTTATCGTCCGTCCAAAATCGTCCAAGTAGCCTTACAGCTGTGCTGTCCTACACTTTTGCTAGAGCAAATTGTTTTCGATGGTTTGACTTGCTCATATTTTCAATTCCAACGTGAAAAAAGGAAATTCCGTTTGGAAATAACCTAGCGCCTCATAGAAATTTTATATAATTGGGCATTTCAGGTAGAATATGTTAATCAATCCCTGAAGATACCCAATTAAAACAAGCATTAGAGAGGCGCTCGAATGAGATTGAATATCTTAGCGCCATCTATGAGACAGGGGTAGTATCAAACCCAAACATTCAAGGTGGATTTCTGAATTCAGTTTCGTGGTCTGCTGCTGTTTCATAGATGGCTCCATTATCTTTCTGGTCCATTTTGGACGCAACAATACAGTATATGGCGTTAATTAAAAGCATTCAAAAATAATAGAGCATCAAAAATTAATGGGTTTCAAGTTTCAACAGAGCGTATCCTGTCTAAGATGACTGGTCTGTATAGCATGCGGGTCGAGTGTCGACTCGCTGATTTCATTCAAATGTGACGCAATTTATAAAATAGGGTACAGGGGAAAACTATCATTCGATGGCAGCCTAGAAAAGTGTATAAGTAGGTACTCCAATCTACTTCAATTTGATCCAATATTAGAAATTAGGTAGAACGAACAAAAAGATTGCGGCAGCTACGCCCAAAATATACGCAACAAGTGTGCCTAATCTTCAAATTGTGTTTTCGATAAACCTGCGAGAAAAACATTCTGAATCTTGCATCGAGTTACCTCGCAAGCTGGCAACCTGTGCTAATGGCTACTTTCAGTGAAGTTCACAGTAATTTTTGAGATGTTTTCGGCACACACCTAGTTTCTAAAAATAACTAGCACGTATCGGTGTCCGGCGACACGTAGCAGCAAGTTGACATGCCCGACATTTGTAACGTAACACCTTCACAATCGCGGACATTTTCATGTTGTAACTTCGAGTCCAAATTGCCATGTCCGTCTGAAAAAACGAATTATATCCGCTTGAAAACTGGAGAAACCCGGTGCACGTAGACACACAATAAAAATCAACATGTTATGCCGGTAAGGCAGGCTACCAGTAATACTTATCGGCTCGCAGTGGCGTAGATAACGCAGCAACTCGAGGAATTGCATGTTTACATCGATCAATGTATTCTACCCGAAGACAGATATTCTTGCGTCCAAAAATTATATATCGATGTTTTATGTATACCGAATGAAAATCAGTCAAACTTTGTTCGTTCAGACATGATGGTGACACACATTAGCTTTTACATATAGAAAAAGAAGATATAACCTATTTCACGAGTATCTATCACGGTAGAATGACAGCTGATTATCTAGTAATATCTCAAATTTCCCCATATCGGCACAGGACACATAATTCTGACGGATACGTCAACGTCAGGTAGTCAGAGCCGTATTTTGTTTTTGTTTTTATGTACGCTGCAGATTCACTTTGTACAGGGTGCGTCCTCAATAACTTTTTTCTATTTGAAAAATCAACACGCTTTTAACGAAGTGAAATCCCAGAATAATCGGGTCTATGGCCGCAATTTCAGTCCGAATATTGTGCTTTATGTCTTGAATTGTTAGGGGACCATTCGCATACACTGTTCCTTTCAAAAATCCCCAAAGAAGATAGTCAAGAGGTGTTAAATCGCACGATCTCGGGGGCCAACTGACATCTGAATTTCGTGAAATTATGCGGTCTTGAAATTTCGTGTGCAATAAGGCGACTGTTTGGCGAGATGTGTTAGCCGTTGCTCCGTCTTGATGAAACCAAAGATCGTCGGCACCAGTACGATCCAATTGTGGCCACAAAAAGTCTGTTAACATGCCGCGATAACGTTCTTCGTTGACGGTAATGGCCTTTTCTTCGGCATCTTCAAAGAAGAATGGTCCAGCGATGCCACCAGCACATAATCCGCACCAAACATTCACTTTTTCAGGATGGTGAGGTGGTTCATGATATTGGTGTGGATTTTCAGCCCCCAAGAATCTGCAATTTTGCTTATTTACGTACCCATTGTGGTGAAAATGAGCCTCATCAGAAAAGAGCACTTTGGCCGAAAATCCGTCTTCTCTTTCCAGCATCCAATTAACAAAAACACGCCGCTGTTGATGGTCTGCCGGCTTCAGTTCTTTTGTTAGTTGGATTTTGTATGGATGGAGGTGTTAAATCCGGCGTAAAGTGGTCTCACTAATTCCCAATTGTTGAGAACGGTGCCCAGTCGAGGTGGTTGGATCTTCTCGCACACTTTCACTCACTGCGGCTATGTTTTCACGAGTACGAGCTGGACCTTCAGCTGAACCAACTTCCTCAAAACGATTAACAATCCAACGAATTCCAGGCTCTGTAGGGCTTCCATGTCGGCCAAAACTAGTGCGAAGTTTGCGAAAAGTATTTTTTATATTTCGACCGTTTTCGTAATAAGTTTGGATAACCAAAATGCGTTGTTGTGTTGTAAACGAATCCATGACTATAAATGGCATAGTTCATTTATGACTTTTGGCTCACATGGTAACACATAGGTAAAAAAAAGTAATAGATGGCGCACCCAGTACTTGCTAACAGCTGTTTTATTGAGATAAGTTCATTTGCATACAAAAACAAAACGCTACAAACAAGTTTTACTAGATTTTTTGAGGATATATATTTTATTTGAATTCCAAGTCATTCTAGGCTTAGGACAGTATTGTCAGTCGTTTCTACAATATTGTAGGACGCCTTTATGGCCTCCTTGATTTTCATAGTATTTTCTCTCCTTCAGAAAGTCTGGGGTTTTTCTATAGATTTGAAATGTTCCGTGTCAGCGTCAGCGCTCCCCAATTGTAAGTTTATGTTTTCTGTTTGAATCTTAAGAAATTTCAGGCTGAAAAAACGCATCGTATACATCGAAAGCATGAACAATTTAATGCAAATAGATATTTGTAACGTAATCTCAAAATAGAGTGCTGGCACGGAACAGTAGAAAACTATGAAAATCAAGGAGGCCGTAAAGGCGTCCTAGAATTGTAAGAACGACTGACGATACGGCCCTTAGTTATAATTTTCTAACATTTTGCCATTGTACCACCGATATTGTACGTATTTGAGATGAATAAGCGTACGCCGCTGGTCTGTGTGGGACTTTTCAATGAAATCAGCAGTTTTCTCGGGATGAATCATCCTGCGTCGTGCGCCGGCGATCCTAGGACTGGGAATTCCGTGAAATATACCTACTTACTAGACTTTGACCAGTCATCGCTGATCCGTCCTTGACCTTTTTATAGGTACCTGGATTTAGACGTAAATCTTATTGGAGATGGGATTGTGAAGGGTTAATAGCTAGGGGCGATTGCTTACCTTGATACCTATATTATGTCGATATTGGTGTATTTTAAAACACTCTCCCTTTGTATAACAACTTTCGTGAAGAGAAAGTTTGGAGAGTATTGTAACGGGTCTTCATTTAGAGGTCCTTTTTCCGAGCGAAAAAATATAAAAACAATCTACTTTATAGGGTTCTTATAGAAGGTGTAAAGAAACATTGTTGACATCCAGCATCTGAAAATTAGCTGTTTTAAATGTTGGCTGCAGATGTGTAGGTGTACGAGGGATGTTTTTTAAGTCTAAGTGATTTCAAATATGTATTTTTTACAACTAGAGTGTATCTAAAATGTTTTTGAGAAAATAAATTGTTTTAGAAGTAAATAGTTTCGTCATGTTTAGTTTATAAAGGCATATTTTGATACAAATCTTGAAGTGAGCCAACTGAAGTGGGAGGGTGCTCGAACATCAAAGGCATATTAAACTCTGAATGGGTGTTTGTTAATGTTGTATAAGAAAATATCGGGGTCACAAAGAATTTCTGTTTTATAGGAACTGGCTTCTTTCAAGTGCGTCAATCAAGTGTCTCGACTCTGAACCCCTGCCATACGGTCTTAAGTGCTTCAAGTTTATTTTTACTTTCATTAAAAGTAGATAATGTTAGGTATATCCATTTACTGGGGCAAAGAAATATACTCGGTGACGTTAGAAGTGTTACACCCAGAAAAAATAATTTCATCAACTTGATTTTTTGGCAATGTAGGGTAGACTTACATCAAGAATGAAATATTATGTTTTTTGGGTGATATATGATATGTACAGGGTGTCCCATTTCCGATGATATAGAGAGTTGCGTTTTTCGCAATACTGTGCTACTTTTTTGAGATAGAAATGAAATTTTCTTAGCCTATCTTGGTTTCTGTGATACAGGGCGAATTTGATCATATTGCTATTCGGGACCTACCTCATATCCCCGTCATACTTTAACATATCGCAGAGCTAAAAACTGACCCTGACACGGTTTCTTACGTAAAAAATGTCCATTACTTCAGCTTTAGTTTTTGAATTAAATACTGACGCAAAGAAAATATTAAAATTGTATATATTTAAAGATTCTTCATTGATCCGGTAATGTATTATCCAGCAAAGGGACATATACTTCGAAGTTGAGTCATTTATTTTAACAGTGAGTAGATCTGATCAAAAGAAATGTTTTTTTCCTTTACTATTTTTCTGGTAAAATTAAAGTAACAAAGTTATAGCCCTCTGGAAGTTTGAGTACCGCCCTGTCTCAATAATAATATTATGTGCTCGTGTTTGGCAACAACGGATATAATCCGCCTTATCAGTTCATCGCATCGGAAACAAAAAAGCGAAAGAATGTGGAACGATGTTTTTACAATTACTCTATTCAGTTGTATACAGTCAGTGTCAGTCGGTAACGCGTGAGTGAATAGTGGTGTCTGTTGCGTGGCTCAAACGAAATAAAAAATGGCATATGTTTATGCGGATCGGTTTCCCAATCGAGTGCAACCAACCCCTCGTGCCTTTGTTAATGTAGCACAACGGGCTCGTGAATCAGGTGATTTAAGACCTCACAGAGGACGGCATGCCGGTGCTCTAAGATCTCACGATCAAATACAGGTCCGCACTGAAATACTTGTTGGGAGGATACTTTATAAAACAAGGTAAACATTTTTTTAATTTTTTTTTTTATTTTTACACACATATTTTGGTTTATCTTCCTTCTACAATCATTATCTGAAAATTAATGACTCAACTTCAAAGTCACCCTGTAGATTCAGTCCTTGTTTGACGTAACTATGTTCGGTCTGTTCATTTGCCTGCTTGTTATTCTTGGCACAAGCAGTTCAATAGCCAGAGTTTCATGTGATTTCATTATACAGGGTGGCGCATCGAAAACGAAACAGACGCATTTGTATTGAGAAAGTATTATGATCGACCAATTGTGTACTTGTCATTTTCGTCGCGACCGCAGCGTAACATTATTCATGGGCCACTTGAAAACGGTCTGTGCAATACTTCGACACAAGCCGCACGCGCTTGCTTTTGTCTCTCTCTACAAAATCAAATGGGCGATTTAAGCATAAGCATGTGCTGCACGTTATACAGATCCGTGCAGATCTAGTGCGAAGTACGATATCTGATTGGTCGGTCGGTGCTCGGTATAAAATTTTGCGGAGCATTTGATTTGGTGACGACGAAACCGAGAGCTCCCAAAACCCGGGAATATTTCGTGGACTGATTAATTTTTCTGCTGAGCTTGATACAACCTTAAGCGAACACAAAAAATGCTTCAATATTTAAAGGAACTGCGAAAGAAATACAAAACGATCTACTGGATTGTATTCTTGAAGTTTGTCATGAAGAAATAATAAAACAGATTAACAGAGTCTCGTATTTGGCGATAATCGCAGATGAAACAACGGACATTTCGGGGAAAACCCAACTGGTAATAATTATCAGATACGTATTTAACGGCGAAACCAGTAGAACGTTTTTGGTATTATATGAATCCCGAAAAATGTGACGCTGATACTCTCACAAGACATATTTTGAGCGTCGTAGATCCATTACTTACTATCACTGGTTAAAACATGTTTGTATCTCCAAAGTGACGTATATTTACAATGGCATACTCGAAGTTTATTAATGACATGGTTCTCAAAACTTAAATTTGTGTCCAACAAAATGGCTAAATTCTCAGTCTCCTCTACAATTTCAAACCTAAAACAATAGCTGTACTCATCGATCCTTTAAATTTTGAAATATTTAACCTAGAACCAATGCAGCAAGCTTTAGTTTTTGTGGGATTCAGTTTCAAACAATAATTTTTGGAATAGTTTGAATGCATGGAAGAAATAGAAGAAAATTTCACTAATGAAACCGTTTGCAAGGCAGTTTGCGGTATTCGCCGTATGTTGAACGATTCTGTTTTCGTGTTTCGGTTGACATTTTTTCATCATGTCATGCCTCACGTCGACGTCTTGTCCAACCAGTTGCAGAAGAGAAAAACCGAACCAGCGCAAGTTAAAACGGCTATCGATAATTTTGAAAAATGTATTGTCGATGTGAGAAATAAAATTGATGACATAGTAAATGAAGCCAAAAGTATTTGCACTGAACCCCAAGGCAACAAAAGGAGACGAGGGAATGATTGCCGAGATTTACATGGAACTCTGTTTCTTTTGAAATTTTTGATACAAAATAGTTTGGATGAAACATTAAAAGAAATAAAAAAGCTATTAGAAATTATTGTTACAACTCCTATTATTTTGGATCACCCTGTATTGTACGGCTATAGATGAAAAGACGTCGTTTTCCCGAAATATACCAGGAGAGTCACAAATGGAGGTACGACGTTTCCGTCGGGCCACCCTGTATAGTTAGATATGCAGAGGTCGAAGATCCGCCGTACCCAAGTGAACCTACCTAATCGACTTTTGAAGCGGTATCACTCATCCCTCTTCTTCGGAACATCCAACAAAGATTAGTCAATCTACTTGACGACATTTTCCAGCATACAGGCGATTTGCACTCACTACTGAACTGGTCGACCGTAACTTCGTCGACTTCCAAATCTGAAGGGACATAACTAATCCACATCTCATTTCCAATTCAATATAAAACAGGGCTCCGAGTTCAATCTTACCCCATAAAGCTTCTTTCTATAACATTCGTCTACCTGTTTATTCTAATCGCACCTGCGTAAGTCCCTCTTAACATATCATTTCGACCAAATCCATGGAACAATCCAAATCAAATTAAGTCGTCTGGTACCATTACGGCGCCCATTACGATTATAGCCGTTTCCGAAAAGTCGTAAATGTGTCTACCATTCCACTGCTGTTTATTTTAAAACGATTTCGCCCTAAAGCCTAAAGTTTGCCTGCCTAAGACAGCATCCAGTAGGCTTTGAACCGACGCGCCGCATATTATCCCGTAAAATCCAGAAGGCTGTACTCTTAGATACAGAACAGACGCACCTCTTTGCTTGACTGAGTAGTGGTGCATGTGTTGATAAAGATGACGTTTGCGCGGGTGTGCTTTTTTATCGTTAGTTTTATGGTGATTTGTGCTTCGTGTGAGGAACATGGTAAGCTGCAATTTTTTGCATGTTAGGAAAATAACAAATTACTCTAAGCTAGTTGTGCTTATTATTCATTTATACATTACAGCCCAACTAACAATTTACATTTTATAAATGTCTTAAAAATGTACTATTTTTATGAAACAACAACGCATGTTCTTTAATTCGTTTTATTATGTCTCCCAAAGCCGTTTAAACGTTTTTAAAATTAGTATAAAATACAGTACGCTACAATAATAAATTATAAAACAGTTCTATTGAAAACAGTTACAGATCTAAACTGGTGGGCAGTCGCGTTGCAACATGGAAAATTTACCCAAATTCAAAATTCGATAATTTCGGAATGGAAAGAGATATCGAGTTGCGATATTCGGGAGGGTTCTTGACCAACTCTTTGAGAAAACATACACGGTTCGACCGGTATATTTCTTTTATTTATCCTTTTATACAAGGTGAGCAAGGGAAGTCAAGTTTTTTTGCAAAACTTGGGGCTATGTCAGATTCTAATTTTTTGATCTTGGAAATTTTTCGATGCATCTTTTTGATCTTTAGACTATCCTAAAAAAAGGAATTTCTCGAATTTTTCGAAAGTTGGCTATAACTCAAATTATCGGATGTTAAAAAAATGTTACATTTATCCATAAAAAGGGACTTTTGCATAAAGTGGAATTTATTGGGAGAAAAGATTGAAGCACTCATTGAACGTTATTGCCTCCAGTGGCGTGCAGTAAAAATTGGCTACTTTGACATTATGAAATTTATAAATTTTACTATGTAATTAAACAACGTAATGAACAAATCCAAGTTACTACTCTTACTATAGATGTGTATTCCAGTGGCGTAACACCAAAAGCTTTTTTGGTTTGGTAAGAAGTGCTAATAACTTAAAAAAAATATTTTTCAAAATGCTATGCTGGCCAACACTGCTATTCATCTTTTATCTGGAATTTTGTATCTTTCTCATTCAGCATAGGCGTGCGCGTCTTCATTTGAGATGATGTCTAATAGGTAATAGACTATTAATATTTTAAACAAAATCAAAGAATTTACTGATTAACATTAACAATATGTAACATTTTAGAAAACAAACATTCGCAGATCTAAATTACTTATTTGTGACAAAAACGAACTTTTTACTAAACTGCATAAGTTATTTTAAACATTAGCACTTTACCTTATTTGCTTCTTAAACAAATTTGCAATATAAGAGCAGTAATAAAGCAATTATAAAATAAAATAGCACGTATATTCCAAACTGAGTTGCTTCGGTATAAAAAAAAAGATTATTATTGATGCTTTTTCAAATTTGCAATGCCTATTCTTTCCCATACTTTATTTCTTCCACCAAAAAAAAAATACCTGGTTTGTAACCTTTTATTATGTCTTCCAATCTATTTTATCAGAAGTTTTGTTGAATGTTGACAAAGAAATCTTTCAGGAATTCGGTCAAACTAAATGCGGAACAGTGAGGATCTCGACTAAAACTTTTTCTTCAGTGCTCTGTTTTCTAGCATCAGAGTTTTGTTTATTTTCGTGAGCATGTCAGAGGATGCGTTCTTTTACTAGATAACATATCGGAAAACAAGAAACGCAAGCAGTCGAGAACTTCTGTTAGGATTGCTTTAATAGATAGAGTGCCCACTTTGTTATTGATTTAAAAACTAAGAAAAAGAGACGTTTCGTTATATTCTCGGGTTATAAAGTACTGATAATGAGGCATTAAACTGTAACAGAATTTAACTGGCGTTATTGCCGTAAAAATGTGCGGAATATTTTATTATATTAATAAAGGGTGTCCCAAAATTAACGCAAGATTTGAATTTGCCGCCATTTGTGCAGTGAAGTGTTGGCAACCCTGAAAAAAAGCAATTTGACAGCTAACAGTATAGGGTTATGAAAAATGGAGCGTTACACGATAGAACAACGTGTCTTCATTATTAAAGAATATTTCAAAAATAGTGAAAGCTTGGCGGCTGCAGTTCGAAAATTTCATACAAAATATGGCCGGAATAGTGTTTTAACTTCGTCAACTGTGAAGAGATTAATTGAAAAATTCATGGAGACTGGATCCGTTGGAGATGCCAAACACACTGGTCGTCCAAAAACAAGCCGTTCAAATGTGAATATCGAAGCAGTGCGTGAGAGTGTTGCGGACAATCCAGGAACCTCAATTCGACGTCGTGGACAAGAATTGCAAATGTCAAGAACCTCTCTACAGCGTATACTCGCTAAAGATCTGTGTCTTCATGCTTACAAACTTCAATTAACACAACAATTGAAGCTTAATGACCATGCAGAGAGAAGAGAGTTTGTTGAATGGATTATTGAACATCAACAAATGGACCCTGATTTTTCAAGCAAAATCATCCTAAGCGATGAAGCACATTTTCATCTTGATGGCTTTGTCAATCGCCAAAATTGCCGCATTTGGGGTTCGGAGAACCCACGTGTGATTGTCGAAAAAGAAATGCACCCACAACGCGTGACTGTCTGGTGTGGATTTTGGGCTGGAGGCATAATTGGGCCATATTTTTTTGAAAATGATGCTGGTCAAGCAGTGACTGTTACTGGTGCTCGATATCGCGACATGATTACACAGTTCTTTCTGCCAAAATTGAATGATATTGATGTACCCAATATGTGGTTTCAACAAGACGGTGCCACATGTCATACAGCCCGTGAAACAATTCAATTACTGCATGAGACATTTCTCGGTCGTGTACTCTCTCGTTTCGGTGATCAAAATTGGCCTCCTAGATCGTGTGATTTAACACCATTAGACTTCTTTTTATGGGGTTATTTGAAATCACAAGTCTATGTCAACAAGCCCACAACCACCCATGCATTAAAGGAGGAGATTCAACGCTGCATCAACGAAATTCAGCCACATTTATGCAGAAGGGTCATGGAAAATTTCGACAAAAGAGTGCGCATGTGCATGCAAAGCCGTGGAGGCCATTTGTCCGATGTGTTATTCCATACATAACCCTATCCTATGTACTTTATGAGTCAATAAAAATATAACTATTAAAAGACTAAAAATGGCATTTTCTATTTAATTCAAATCTTGCGTTAATTTTGGGACACCCTTTATAATCAAAAACAACATTTAGAAATTATAGCGTCACCTAGATCCAGATCTCTCATCAGAGATGAAGTCGGTGCTACTCTAAAGTGCTCTCAAAACAGCAACAGTTTGTTAACAATATTGTTAGTACCTTGTAGGGCCACGCCGCACAGTCTGGCGTCTTCGTGGCTTCGAGGTTTTTAATAAATTCTAGGGATACGTTTTCTCACTCTTCCTAAATGTCCTCAGATAGCTCTTCCATTGTTCGAAGTAGAAAAATTTTAGCCGAGACCACATGCTCAATTATGTTTGAGTCAGGAAACTTTGATGGCAGAGGCAATAATGTAACATTCAAAAAGCTGATAACCGTCCAAGTTATACTAAGTGACATATAAATCCGAACACCCAGTTTAAATGGTTTTATTTCAATAAAATTTTGTATAAGTCCTTAATGAAGCATAATAAGTAAATGATAAAAATTTCAAAATGATTGCACTGCTTTAAAGCCCTTTGACCTTTAATAATGTGTGGATGCACCCTGATGTGCTACGCATTCTCCAACGCGCCTAGACATGCTTCTGATCAGGTGGTCAATGTCCTCCTGGGGTATCTCATTCCAGGCAACCACCAACTCCTCTCGAAGTGCTTCTAGAGTCTGAGGAGGACGTTGCAAATTGAGCAATCTCATACCCATCATATCCTACACGTGCTCAATTGGGGATAAGTCGGGAGATCTTGGTGGCCATGGTAACAATGTGACATCATTATGTTGAAAGAAGTCTATTGTGACTCTTGCAACATGTGGTCGGGCATTATCTTGTTGGAAAGTTGGATCTGCCAGGGTGTCAAGATAGGGTAAAAGATGGGGTTCTAGAACTTCGTGGATATAACGCTGCGCGTTCATGTTACCTCTGATGAAGATTAAAGGTGACCTGGAACCATAAGCTATACCACCCCAAACCATAACTCCAACAGTGTGATGAACACGTCTTTCAACAAAAAACTGTGGATTCCTCCTTTCACCACATCGCCTTCTAACCCTGGCACGACCATCGTGCATGCCTAAACAAAATCGAGACTCGTCACTAAAGACAATACTGTTCCATTCCTGATCCCAGAGTGACCGTTGTCTGCACCACTCAAGGCGATTACGTCGGTGTTCTCGAGTTAAAGGGAGGACCCAGTGTGGCCGGTATGAAAACAAGCCAAAACTTCTCATTCGTCGGTAAACACTTCGCATACCAATAGGTCTTCCATGTTCTGCAAACCATTCATTTGCAATGGACCTGGTAGTGGAGAAACGGTCCCTTAAGGCCAATAATCTTAGGCGGCGATCTTCACGGTCTGTTGTTCTACGGCGGCGTCCAGTGCCCCTTGCTCTTTGCGTACGGCCTTCTCGAAGCCATGCCTGACAACATCTAACCACAGTGTCTACACTTCTTTGCACTCTAACTGCAATTGTCCGAAAAGAAAGTCCAGCTTCCCGAAGTCCCACTATACGGCCCCTATCAAACTCACTAAGTTGACGAAATCGTACAGGTCTCCGTACTCTAGGCATCGTAACCGAACGTAAAGGATGTCAAGAACCAAAATCCGCCAACGTTGATTCTTTACTGCGGCTGAAATATTCATTTTTAGAGCGTTAGTGAATTAAAAAAAGCAGTATAAAAACCGGAATGTCCAACTGATAAGGCTGACAATTTTTTCACTTGTTATTTACAGTAAGATAAATACATTCACCAACTTTTATTAAAATAAAACCATTTAAACTGGGTGTTCGGATTTATAAGTCACTTAGTATATTTAATAGCTTTTGATGGGAGTTTCGTATCGAAAGGTATTCTGTGATTTGTGCCTATCAACCGCTAGTACCTCACCGAGGTTAGGCGGTTAACCGCGTTCCACGTGATTTTTGACATTCGGATGACGTCTATCCGTC